TTTGTTTAAATTCGTTTTTTTTTTATTTTTCGAAAACAAGTTTGTCGCAGACTTTTTTCGTCATCACAACAATACATTCGATTGTTATATACGATTGACGAATCATCGAATTAGAATATTAAAAATGCTCATGCGTCATATATTCACGTCTGTAGATTGCGTATTATATATACAAAACGTCTAATTATAGTAAATTTTTACTTATTTTTTCACTCAATATAAAATAATAATATAAATATGATTACTATACATAAGTCTTGGTTGGATTACTGTGGCTTATTGTTATTGTGTAGATACGCATAAAAAAAATTGCAACAATATAAAAAAAATCCGACCATACAGAGCGATTTTTGTATCACAAGCCGTCGTTGCAATAATTGGTTAGGTACCTATAAAAAAAAATAAAAATAGTCCTAGTTTCGAGTTTATCATAGAGCAAATTAAAATATTTACTAATTTTTTTTTTTTTTATGTAGGCTGGTCAAATTGCGTATACAAATCAGTAGAATAGTATAAACATTTAACTACTTAAGGTATATATATATATAAAGGTATATTATAAAAGTATATATAAATATAAGGGGGAGAGGGGTACACATTACCTATTAATTAAACAAAAAAACACTAAAATCAAATACACTGAAAATCGAAACTCCATTGAAAATTGCTGGTTCATACGATATGTGAATCACTCTGTATATTATAATAATATTATGTTGCTCTATTCAAATTTCAAATAATAAAACGTGTAGTAAAATATGAAAATTCATATAAATATTAAAATAATTTTAACGTATTTTATAAATTAGCATTCTTCTAGTTTCCAATCTTTTTTTTGGCTTTTTGCAATTCACCATGGTTCCCTTTTGTAAAATAACTAATACTACTATACTACTTTCGGCATGTATAAACTAAATTACTATATCTCCAATATGCATTTCAAATTTCCCACCTATACTACAGCAGTGGCCTACCCATAGTGCGAAGTACGTCCGTCTTTTGTTAAATTGATATGGTATAGATGATTTGTTACAGGGTTCATAAATTATTATGTTTAAAATAGGTACACCCATAATAGTATACTTTGAATCTCTTTTTTTTTTGCTTATATTACAAAAAAAAAATTATATACGTATACATATTATTATTATCTTTTCGATGTTTATAATATAATGTACGCACGGTAGAAATATATTATTATATAACATAAAGGTATAGACTACTGTACGATGTAATTTATGGCCTATAATAATTTTACTGGATTATTAGCTTGTTTATAGCGGTGCTTCACGTGTGGTAGGCTAACTGGCTGCATGCATTACTACATTACAGGGTCATTATGTATATATATCATATAATTTAGTAATCCGTATTCAATTTTCACAGTTTTCTTATAGCACGCTGACAATAACCAGTTTTTTTTTTTTTGATTTTAATTTTTTTATTGTGAGATGTGATTTTTATATAGTTATTATTATCAAATTATAACCGTTTTATAACTATATTATGTAGGTATAGACATGGCTGGGTGGGGGGGGGGCTAAGCGGAGTGTAGCCCTTGGCCACAATACGAATGGGGCCACAATATTTCGTCACTTTTTTCTCTTTCAATTTACTTTTACAAATATGCGTTTTTTAAATTTAGTAAAAATGCTCCGATTTTTTTCATTTCAAATCTTTAACGATGCAGATTTTTCACTTGATCGCATCAGTGGCGTAAATGGACCTCAATCAAGAGGTGAGGGGAAAGAGTAATTTAAAAACCGTACTTGAATAAATTACTTGAATAAAGTGTCATTATTATTCAAATTTATTTGGAACATTTGTCGACATTTCCAAAAATGTATCTCTAGAACTCTTTTTAATCCTAATACCAGTAGATATTGTAGATTAATTATGAACTTGTTAAAATTTTTGAAATTTATATTTATATTTATAGGTAATATAATATATTATTTTATTAAGTAGGTATTAACGGCTGTTGGCTAACATAAACACACTTAGCCCCCTCCCCCTTGGCAACGTCACTGCGTTTGGATTGTACTGATATGGATTATTGGTATATTTTGTGTTAATTAAATGTATATGTTATTAGTTTATTACTAATAATATTATTAATAACACGTATTATAATTATAATAAATCGTAATGTCACTAAATTATCGAAATTATTATTTTAATCAGAAATAACCTTACATTTTTTTTTTCTTTTTTAATAGAAAAACTTTTTAAATAGATATTCAAACGTATTATTAAGTTCTTCTTTTAACATCGTTTTACATAAATATCATTCGATCATTATTAAAACTATGATAATAAGTCAATATTGAATAAATATAAAAAATTATTTACATCCATATTATATATATTAACGATATGACGTAATAATCATTTCTTTGTCTTGAAAATGATATAATTACAAAAAAATCAACACTTATTACCCATAAAATATAATCTTTAATGTACTCCAATAATCAAAATATTATAATAGGTACGCGAAATTATGCGAAATAAAATTTTGGATTTAGATTAGTGATTAATGATTAGATTATGCTCCAAAATGAAATTTTTATTAGACTAAACTATTGTATAGATAATTTAGGTATAGGTGCATTAATACCATATTACTTTATTATTTTAGTGAATAATATTAAATAGAAACAATACGGACATATATCGCATTTCGCAAGATGGGTGTGCTACTGTTGCAGGTAAGAAATTAGGTAGGAAGGTAAGATCTAGAGGGGAAATTAATAATTTATCATTACTAATGAAAAACAATTCTGATCAGAGTTCGATTATATATAGTTTAAGGCATGGTTTAAGTTTACATAATTTACGATTTTCGTAAAAAATTTTTAAATTTCTTTTAAAATAAAAATATATACTACATTAATCTCAAACTTTCCTTGTTGGTCAATAAGTACAACTTATTATGAACCTCTTGTTAAATTTTCAAGCATTTATGTTTAGTCTAAAAATTGTATCCACAGAGAACTTACCGAATAAAAATTTGCATATAAGTAGCTCCAAAATGGTTTAAATATTTTTTTAAATTTTACCACGTCTAGAAAAGATAAATATAAATTGTTGTCCGAATTTGAAGTCTCTTCGAACATTTTTAACTGAATTACAGCAAAAAACATAATTGAAAATAGTAAAATCATTATTTTCATAAATGAAACTGCTTGGAAAATCAAAAAATTACCTCTATAAAGTACCAAGTAGGTACAATTTTCCTTTCAAAAAATATATCCACTTGATTCAACGGATCAATATTTCTGATAAAAAAGTTGTTCACAGAATAAAAAAAAAAAGGCATCATTATAAAACATATACGTATAATTAACTTAACAAAAATTATTTTTGTAAATTTTCCTGTTTTTCCTACGTTTTTTCCGGGGTTTCCCAATTATTATGAAAATCACTTCAAAAATAAAAAAAAATGTTCTTCTTAGAGTACCAACATGTACTTGGCTTGAAATTCAGATCAATATTTCTGGTAGAAATTGTGTACAGTAGGTATGTATAAAAAAAAAACCATCATTGTAAAACCAATGCATTCCTCGCTTCGCTCAGAATTTATTACGAAAACGTATAAAATATATTGTATAGACTTAAAGGTATAGTTAGGATTTTCGCAGATCAAAAAGATATCATTCAGACGAAAAATGCAAAAATGTTTTTATGTACTTATTAGTACTTACTTATGAAAATATCGGCTGGCTAATCTTTTTATCACGACAAATATTCAAGTTGCAAAGATATTTGTAAATTTTACAAATATGCAAGTTTACAACGTGTCGTTTACAAGCTATACGGTATTTTTTATAATACGTAAAGAAATTCTACGAAAAAAAAAAAAAATTAAATTAATGAAGAATTTCGGTAATTTAGTCGATTTAAAAAATATATATATTATTCATAACTACGTCTGTGGTAGAGTCATTTATCAATTATCAGGATAGGCCTTATTCTTTTTAGAATTTAAAATCGAGAGTATAATGTTTTACAAAAATATCTAATCGCTGAAAAGTAACGTAACCGAGGGACATGCTTTCGAATCTGTACATGTACATTCGTCACACTAAAACACTACGAGGAAGTTATATCGTCTACACTATTCGTCACACTTACCGCGAAGTCAGTCTTCAATATTAACTGGCAAACGGTGATCGATGCGATTCATCGCGAACGTGTCTGTCGTGAAAACGCTATAGGTACCGGTATGGAGATTAGGAGATTTGTCACATGCCTATAAATACATACTATGCCTATATATTTGCAGTACGTGCACATAATATACATTATTTCGTTTCTCTCTGCGAAATTAGTTGAAACGTTTGCGATTTCCTTACGTAACTACGGAAATCGGGAAGTATCTACCGCGGTGCGTTTAAAAAGTGTATCAGTGTATAGGGAAACATTAGGGCAAAAGAAGACGTATTCGTCAAGACCGGAAGGCCGTTGACCTGAATGTATGAACGGAGGACGGCGCGTTAATTTGCGCCGCGCCGTACGGTAACACTGCGGCGGACCGGCGGCAATATCGCGACTTAGTCCTCGGCGCTACCACGAGGCGAAGTTCATTCTCGCTTCGTGCGCCAAACGCTAATTGAGTTGACCCAGTGAGGAGAGTACGTCGTCGCGTCGTCGCCGTCTTCGTAGCGCGATAGGTATACCCACCGTCTCTCGCGGACCACGCAGTTCACATCGGCGCGCTCGCATCGCGTCCCCCCCGGCGGTGGCGGCAAAACGTAGCGAAATAATAATATTATTATTATTATTATTATTATTGTTATTATTACATTCCGTCGAAATCCTTGCGCAGGTGATGTATCCGGTCCGCGGCCACGGCGAACGGTCCGTCGTCGGCTGTTGTAGCTGCTGAACCATCTGCCGTCCGGGCGAAAAAAGCGCGCGAAGAACTCCGCCGACCGGCCCTCGTAGTCTCGCGCCTAAATACCTGCCCGATCGTTTGTCAAGTGTGTATTATTATTATGGACACCGCCAGCCGGAGCAACGGTAGCGGCGGCCGCCGCGGACGGCTGCTGTGCCGGTATTGGTGGTGGCTGACCGTCCTGTCGTGGTGCGTGACTTCGTCGGCTCTGGACCAGGACGGGTTTATGGTGCACCGGGACAACGCGGTGCTCCCGAGGCGGGGTAGGATACACAAGTTCCGCAAGAGTCAGCAGCGGCCAGAGGAAGCGAAGAACGACGAGCCGCAGAGGAGACCGAACATCGTACTGATGCTGACCGACGATCAAGACGTAGAACTCGGTGAGTTGTGCGACTTTAATACATTTTTGACAATAATTTTCGTTAAACTCTCCTAGGAAGTGGATTTAGTGGACAGGTAGATAGGCGACACGGCAATAATTGTTTATTCTTATCCGCAGATCTACCGGTGGATATTATTTTTAGAAAAAAAAAAAACCGTAAACTCGTGACAATAATAAACACAATATTAATTATCCCTAATGATTTTTTTTTCTCAAATAACAGCTCCCGTCTTACAAAAAAAAAACTACCGTTTTCGTCCCGAATAGAAAAAAAAAAACAAAACAAATCACGTTTTATATTTTATTGGTATAATGTCTGTCGGTACGATTTCATAATTTAATCGTTAATTGAAATATTTTACCTATACACCTATATTCATAATAAAATAAACATAATTTAGTTACAATGATATTATGCACTTACAAAAATATAACATAATATTTTATGAATCATGTAAAAATTATACAAATTACGGAATAAGTATAACTATTATATTTTAAATCCGATGTTTTTATATTCGAACGGAACTCGCGAACGCAGCCTGATTTCTATTGCATTATTATTGCACGCACTAACGATTGTTTACACGGTTATATTGCATTGCACATAATGCGCATAGAATTTTATTACCGATAACACAGGCGATATTATGTGTTTAAAAATTCGCATTCTATTACAAAAAAAAAAAAAAATTCTAGAATTATAATAGTTAGGTATACTATAATATTATGTGTATGGTTTAAAATGCAAAATTACCGTATCAATTTTTGAAAAAAACCTGCAGAAATACCGACGCATGGCCACTGTGATACTAAGCAGTAATTAGTTATGAACTTATAACAAATAAAAATGATTGCACGCGTACGTATTAAATTTGCATAAGCATCGTAGTACTGACTTTTCGTCGAAATTGTAAGTTACGTGACAGAATTCGCAGAACAAAAATTTTCCATATAATTTCCATTAGTTATGATTGTTTTTTTGTTTTAAATTATTATCCGAAAGTCTGTTTCAATAAACGTCCGATTTATAATATGTCTATTGAGTGATAAATATTAATATTTAAAAATTACCGTCGTGAATTAAGTATAAGAGTAAAAAAAAAAAAAAAAATACTGATTGCAAACATTGTACTTAAATGACGTTTCCTAGATTCAAATTAGATCATAATATAATATGCAATACTGCAAATTTTTTTTTTATCCGGAAGCCCTTGAAAAATCTATATATTTTTTTTAATCTACGGGATATGTTATACACGCTAATATACGATATGAGTTTTGTTGTCTTATATTTCACCATATTTAGATAGAAAATAATATCTTTGTTGAATAAATAAAAAAAAGTGTCAGTTCGTCGAGGATTACGAATGAGTATACGAATACAGTTAAATAAAATATTACTTATTATTTTATTATTTTCCCGAACAGAAAAAAAAAATATATATATATTTTAAGAATTGGTCGTCGATAAAACCCACTGTAACGTAAGAACACATACATATTACGATATATAACATGCAACATAGGTTGGGGATAGTAGTTTCAGAATTTAAAATATTCAGTAATTTTATTTCCGATTAATTTTTATTATTGAAATGCGAATTTCGATTACCCGTAAATCTAAATAAAGAATTTGTTAAGTATTGTAATCCATATATTTCAAGCACTCTTTTGATCACAAAATCTTTACCGACCCGGCTCGGTCGATTAGATTGAATGTCAAGCCCAGCCCGATTCATTTACATAATAGATACATTAATGTATTGCCCGGTTCGAATCATTCTTAACGTAATTTAAAATTTCACCAAGGTTGCCTCAAAAAAAAAAAAAAAAAAAACAAAAATTGTTTTGGATGTTAATACACAAATGTATAACAAAATAATAATATATCGTATTTCATAAGGCGCGTTACAATCGGTTATCAATAACGGAACCGCTAAAATAATAATTTTATTTCATTTGATTAAAATGTTAATTCACCGTAAGCAAATGAAAACAAAAAATAGCTGATGGGTGTGAAAATATTATAAGTGGGAAATTGAGATAGTGGGATACAAAAAAAATGATTTAATTTATATTTGTACGCAACGATTAATGATGAAATCTGACCGAAGTTCGGTTAAACATGTTTTGAAAAGACTTTATTTTTACTATTTTCGTCAAAATTTAAACTTAAGATGTTCATAATAAAAATCATTACGTTCAAGTTGTTTTTTTAAACATTAAATACAATTTATGATAAACTTCGTGTACAATTTTCAAGTATTTTCGACCGGCCAAAACAATTTTATCCACATAAAACCAAATAAAATTTAGAAATAACTCGAAAATGGCAAACGCCAATAAATAATCCAAAAATCGCAGGAATGTTTTGAATATTTTTTCCACGTCTAGATAAGAAAAATATTAATCCATGCAAATTTTAGTTCCCTAATATTATCCTTAACCTAATTATAATACAACTTCGCCGTTTTTTTCTATACGTTTTTCCCCAATTATTATGAAAACTGTTTGGAAAATCAAAACGACCCCTTCAACGACCCGCCAACTAGTTCCAAAATAACACAAAAATGTTCTCTTTTTGTTCTTTAGATTGGAGCAAGATTCCTTGTAGGAAAATTAAATAGAAAAAAAAACACACATTATAGTAAAACCAATACATTCCTCACTCAGAATTATTAAAGGTAATTTATTTCATTTTCATTTTGGCCAGCTCGAGTTATAAATATGAAGTTTAATCCTGACTTGGTCCGTTTTAACTAATAATTCGTTTTAAATTAGTTATTGTTTACCCGACCAACCAACACGAAAGTGAGTGGGACAGGCCCGAAATACTAACACCGAGTTTATGGTTAGGCTCTGCCCGGCCTAGTATAAATATTAACTTAACTAAGGTTTAATTTTTATTCTATAGCATATTAGAACCTATTTATTTTGTTATTTTTAAATGGGAGTATCTCGTATAATGCCTCTACAAGCTATTTTCAACATAAAAATGAAATATATATTGGATTATTTAAAGAATATATCCCGGCATTCAAACATTAATTGGTAATAATTTATATTGAAAACATTTTTTATAACGTCTATAAGAATGAAAATGAATTATTTTTTATTCCAATAGTTTTCTAAAAAATAAAAATATATTACTTTAATTTAGATTATAGTATAGTTCTTCTGTAGTACGTTTATACATATATACACTTGAATACTTCTTTACGCTTGAACGTTTTCATATATATATATATATATATATATTATTTTAAGATTGCTATACAGACACAAAACCAGCTTTTAAGGACCAACAAAGAAGTCAAAAGAGTTTTTGATTATTATTTGTTCTCAAGTTAAGCCTCTTGTCAAATAATATATTTTGTCTTTGTTATTTTCTGGGTTGGGATATAAAAAAAAAAAAATGTGTCATCCTGCTGCAGTATATTTCAATATTGATTATACGTCTGCTTTTATACATAATATATGGGTACCTATATTACGTATATACAGTAAACATTCGATAACTCGGAGCTCTAAGGAAAACAAATTTAACATAGATGTAATCTAAAAAAAATAATAAAAGAATAACATTGTTATAATACTGATGTAGGTAGGTATATTTCAAGGTGACTATTTTGCTTTGCGTTTTTGAATATTTCGACTAATAGAGTTCTGTGTTACCGAGATTTTACTATTTATGTCAATTTAAGTTAAGTATAAAAAAAAAAAATCTACATAATTTTAACCTTGATTATTTTAAATAATACCTATTCATTGGTATAAAACATTTTGTGGTTTTTATATTTGGATAGGTATTGAATTATTAAATAAAAATGGTATTTCTATAATATCAAACCTCCCAAGTAAAAAAAAAGAGTTGACACTGCTGGTGGGTGTGCCATTGTTGTAGGTGGGAAACTGGGAAATTGGGAAGGTACGGTATATACAGGAATTCAATTTATACCTATAAGCAACGATAAACCATTACTAACAAAAAAACGATTCTGAGCGGATTTTGGCTGATAGTGTTGCTTTTGACAACAATATATATGTCATATTATAGTAAAATAATTAAATATGCATTAAACATTTTCTTTAATAATATTTGTTTAATATTGTACCTATTTTCCTGTTTTTTCTACGTTTTTTTCTAGTTTTTCCCAAAAAATTACCTCAATAAAGTACCTCCTCAGTCAGATTTTAATTTAGAAAAAGTGCTATAATTTTAAATTGGAGCAAAATTTCCGGTAGAAAAATTGTTCACAGAAAAAAAAAATAAAAAAAAATAAACACTATTGTAAAACCAATACATTTCTCGCGTCCCTCTGAATCTAAAAGAGGATATTTTAAATTAAAAACCATGACAAAGTATGGTCACATTGTGTTGCGTTTTGTTTAGTATTCTACTATTTTCTACTCCCCGATTTATGCCGTAGTTCTCTACTATTTTGGCAATACTAATGTTAGTCAATAAGAAGTGGAGAATTATGATAATAGGTGAAGTAAAGAAATATTTGAGCGGGGATTGCGTATTAAAAAACTGTGATCATACCTATTTAAATGGTAAAAACACTAAAAACTGTAAAACCAATACATTCTTTACTTCGCTCAGAAACTAAAAAAATACACATATCATTATAGAACCAATAAATACATCCCTCTCTAGAGTTAATGATTTTAATAATTTACTAATTGGTAATTATTTACATCACGACCATGGCGTGGCGTATTTATTTTTCTTATATAAACTTTTGGTTTAAAAGGTTTTTTAATGCATATTATTTTAACTTTAACTGATATAGCAATGTTTATAAACAAATTTGGTAATATGCCAATAATCAGTATAGACGTCTATAGACGATTCTATTCGAAAATCAGTGTTGGGTATATCCTAGTTCTGAGGGGGGGGGAGATTTTAAAATACTTATAGGTAATGGGGTTCATCCCCCTCAGCGTTTATTACGGATTTTCATCCATAGGGGTATCGTACATTTCTAAAGGGTAACCAAAGACATAGTCGGATATAGGAATTTTTACACAAGGAGAAAAAGTAAATAAAATATACTCAATGATAATTTTTTTCTGTACCTCGATAAAAAATTGTTATTTATGTAACACAATATATTAAAATTGCATTATCAAGAAGATATCACGTATCATATCACATGTAGTTTACGTAGAAATGTAATTTACATTTTCATTAAATTTGTCTGTGGGAGGGGGGGAGTAATACCCCCGGTTATCTCCCCGAAATAAACACTAATCCTTCCCATTATTTGTTCTGGAAATCCATTACTCTAATCTGCACGAAAAATATGCAAATTTCGTTGGTTTTAATTTCTAAAAATGTTTATAACCTCTTTCATTGTTCTTTTTCGACATGTTTTGATTGTTCTATTTTATAAATTTTCGGCTGACTCTTACTAGATGACGTTTTACGAAAATATTTATTTTGATCAATAATAATTGCGGTGAAATATGAAGATACAGTAGAAGCCGTTTATTAGGAACACGGATAATTGACACGTTTCACCTCGGTCCCAAAGTGTTCCTAATAAGCGGCTTCTACTGTATTTTGACACAATATAATAATGTAATTGTTTGTAACCATAAAGTAGATTCTACAAAAATAATACTTTAAATATTCAATTCAATTGAGATACTATGCATATTAAACTTTAAACAACAAATAATACAACATGATCCGTTGATAAATGATAACCATAAAAAAAAAAAAAAAAAAGTGATATACCGATGTGTGGGTACAATAATTATTATTATTGTATAAGTACATGTGAACAACTACGTCGGTTTATAAACAACTTTGCAAAAAGCAACTGTTGATCGTTGGTCTTCAGTCACCGAAATATATATCACTATATCAATATACAATTTATTGTTATCTATCTCAGTGGCTTTAAGAGGACGATATACGCGCATCTGCTATTTCAGTCTAACTACTGGGTAACATGCAAAAACAATGCTTACGCAGAATAAGTAAAACTAGCTTAATTTTGATTTTAGAGTAAAAGTAGCTATTATGAAAGTTATAGAGCATAATATTTTGGAGGGAATTTCGTAGAGTTTTTGTACTATTCAAAACATACAGATCGTTATAATAGATACAAAAACCTTTATTTTTTTTATTATTTTTTAAATAGTTTTTTTTAAAAAACTTAAAAACTTTTTTAATAGTTCTTAATTCAAAAAAACCCTATGATATTATCTTCGAAGAATTGTTCTCCATAAATTTCATAATAGGTCCTTTTACTCTAAAATCAAAATTAAGCTAGTTTTACTTATTTTACATGATCATTGTTTTTGTATGTTACCCGGTAGTTGGACTGAGACAGTCGATGCAGGTATAACGTCCTCTTAACACAATTATAACAGCAAAATAAGCATGACTTCTTATCATTTCAACTGACTAAAAATAAAAAATAAATGATCAAAATTGTATGATTTAATGTAGTTACCTTTTACTTATATACCTATATAAATTCTTAAGTATTAAGTTTTCGTCATCACTATATATTAGCTGATGAAAATACCAAGGGAAGGGGGGTGATCGTCCACCAATCGTCCCCACCCGATACCCGCCATTGCCAAAAATCACTATATACTTAGGTATGTGTAATTATAGATTGTTTATTTATACAAAGTTAAACTCTGATAGTCTAATGTAGTAAACCATTTTTTTTTGTATATACAATATACATCGAGGATTAATTTATGAAACGTCTGATGTAGATACACCATATAATATACCTTCCTAAAAATAGTAAATTTTCGCGTAATAATATGTGCTCGAATTTCATGATTGAACAATATTTTTAGCGTTATAGTTTACGATTATTATTGTTACAGGTATTTTTTGAATAAATTTATTATTATACTATGTATATATTATAATAATAAATTTATATACTTAATATATACTATAATAGTGTTAAAAAATGAAAATTAATATAATGCCACTGTAAGGTATTATCGACTGATGCTTTCTTATCCCTTATTCTTTTACACCTTGCAACATTACATAAGACAATATACCTTTACATTAAATATATTAATATTTATACCTGTGGTTCTCTTTTTTTCGATTTTTTTTCGCGTACCACTACATGTATTATGGATCTATCTGTACAAATATTTATCAATTTATTTTCCGTATTGCTACCACGCGACTTTCTGCGTACCATTATGTTGCCTACCGCGTACTACAATTTGAGAACCGCTGATTTATATATGATGAAATTCAATTTTTTTTTTTAAATATATATATACTAGGTGCCTCGCCCGTGCCAATTTTATATCATTATTTTTTCATCCATATTCCTTTTTGGTTTTGACGTTTGACCATGTCAGTATTGAATGAAAACAAATAAGCGGAAAGTCGGTAATCCACCTTCGACGGACAAATAGTGTTCTGTTGTAAAATTTTTTTCATGATCTTCGTATTAAAAATATCTGAAAACGGAATTTTGGGGAAGGGGGTGGAAAGAAGTGAAGGTGTACCGTATTATAGTCGTCGCTCGCAAACCACACGGAGTTTCTTTTATACCTTTATGTGTGTATTTGCTGACAATTTATAAAATTAATATCTCGGTTGTTAATCTATATATAATATATAAAAATTAATCGATATTTTGTTGGTGACGCCATAACTTAAAGACCATCCAAATTTCCAACTTTTCCGGTTAATTTTCGAACAATTTTCTTTCATACAAACGTTTATTTTTATATTTATCATCAATTTGTTATTGTTATGGAAATATGTGACAACAGAACTGAACGTCAATTATTGAATTATTTTTGTTGATTTACTGATGACCTTGGTGATATGGGTGAAATAAAAAAAAAGCATTGAGATTTTCATACAAAAATACTATTCACGTTTACGAATTTTCTGGCCGATTTTCAAAAAATGTTCTTTCAAAAAAAAAACCTTTTCCTGAGAATTACAAATACAATAAAAAAAAAAATCAGCTAAATCGGTCCATCTGTTTTCATATTATTGGGTGACCAACAAAATATCGATTAATTTTAGTATATTTGTATTTATTTATTTACGGAACAATTTACAAACATATGATAATGACAGTGCGTGTGTAATATGTTACAAATAATATAATAATAATAAGAAGATGAATATATAATATTACCTGTATGCATATATCTATTATTTTACGCGTTATTTAAAAATTAAAATATATTTTTAAGTACTTACAAACTAATATATTACCATTGCCTTTTCTTATACAAATATTATTATTATTAATTTGGATATGTACATTATCTATTATAGACATTTTCATTGTCACAATTATTCATATCATGTATTCCTAATATTAATCGGTATAGTGTATAATACTTATATGATTATATTCCTTAATTTTCTATGTATTATAACCCGTTCAATTTAAGGAATTTCGACATATTTGATAGGAAATTAATAATTATATGTACAGAGTTCCCCACGATGATCTGCCACTTGAAATAACTTTTGTTCCATTCAATATTTGTAATATATATTTTTTTCTGATAATTAATATGCTTCTGCGGTACAGTTCATGTATACAATTTTCTATTATAAGTTTCCCTTCCTAAAAAAAAAAAAATGTTTGTATACTAACTGTAACGCAGAGGCATACTTATTATTTAAAAAATATCGAATAGAACAAAAGTTATTTCAAGTAGCAGATCATCGTGGGACACAGTGGCGTGTCGAAGTATGTTTTTTGAGGCAATTGTCTCATGAGTAAAATGGGTGATCAGTAAAGTGGATAATCAAATATGTTAAATATTAATTAAGATTGACTAGTTAAGAGATCATAAATGCCTTTAGTTTTGCGTGTTATAGGTATTATTAATTTAATTACTTACGAATATGATAACCCATATTATGTAGGCAATTTAGCTAAATAAAGTTGTTGCTGTAATTATTTCTAGGACATATAAAAATCCATTTCTATGATAGGTGGGTCCTAATTTTTTTGTTTCGCCTCAAATAAGAAAAATGTTTAGCATGCTACTAGTGGTACACACTGTAGACCTACTTGTTATTATTTTATTGTTTTTATATTTGATCACAAAGATTAAAAAAATCAAAGAATAATATTATGTTATTGTTGTATTAGGTACTGTAATACCTACATAATAATACTATAAGGACTCTTGTCAAATTGATAATAATATTGCTATTATTATACAATACTGTTTGTATTCAAACAAGTTATATTTTACCTAATAAAAAAAAAAAGAAAACGCTATAGTACATTTAGTTATGATTGTCTAATATTATATTTGTTGGACTTTGTTTGAAAAACAAAATTTGTACATACTTGTGTCTGATATATAAATAAATTCGGATTGAAACGTACAAGTTTAGTAGAAATATTGAAATATTATAATTTCTAGTCTATAGAGTATAAAATATAGACTATATACCAGGGGTGGCAAAATATCTTGACACTACGTGCCAAAAATAAACTTTTTTCTTCCGAGCATGCCATTAAATTATAAAAAACATTGTACACATGTATATTATAGAAAAAAAAATGTGTGCAATTTCGATGTTATTATTTATTATTAAAAATAAAAATATAATATAAATATTTCAATATTTTAATATTCAACATTTTTTTACGTGCCACCTCGTGCACGAGTGCCATAAATTTGCATCAATGTTATATACCTGTAAGTTATATTTATAAATAATTAGTTGTCACTCGTAACTTATGCGCGTAGAATTTCATAAGGGCATAAGGCCTTCTCTCCAGGGTGTATAAAAGGTAAATAGTATAGGGTTCCTTATTTTTGGATCAAGTTCCTAAGTGAAATAACTAGTTCAAATAATTTTTAAAAAAAAATCATGTAATAAACTAGTTAGGGATTTTTCCATAGCATCGAGATAAATTAAAGTCTTAACCATTGTAAAGACACGTATATTTTAAATGGGACAATTCAATTAGAGTGCCTTGATCTATCAATAGGCGCTCTTAATTCAACTCCCGTGGGGCTTTATCTTGTCTCAAAATAAAAATCTGAAAAGTTACTTGATATTTTAAAAATTAGTTTGAACTAGATTTTCCACTTAAGAACTTTGAACTGCAAAAAAATTCAAATAAAGAACTCCATAATAAAAAGATTTTGATGTAATTTAATGAAATTTGAATACACTTATACAACAGTAAAAATTCAAATATAGTAAACGATAATTTCAACTATTATACCTAAATTAACTAATTTTATTGTATACTTTTTTTTCCGGTTAATCGACAGCATTAGTGGTAATTTTATTTTACATTAATCGACGCCATTCGGTTTTTTCACAATATGGAATTAACAATCATAAATTTACAAAGTGATTTACAGTACAACACATGAATCTAAATTATTAGCTAAATTCATTATACGATATCATTTTCCCTCGTAATGATACTTCTTCTTAAAGTTACTTATCAGTGGCGTAGCTACACATAAAAACGCTTAAAGTGAAACTATTTTTTTTCGCCTCTACATATTATAAAATATAAAATATAAATTATACTGATTTTCATTAAAACAGTGTTGAGATTGTATGATTTGTCTACTAAATACTTGAAAATCACCAGCGCCCTCATCACACATGTAAACCCACAAAACAAATTTAACGCCCCGAAGCAACTGCGACTCTACACCACTGTTACCTTAGTTTTCAGTTTTCAAACCATACACAAAAATCAAAAGCGTCCACTGTTTACTTATGTAACTTTGTCATTCCGTTTAATCTTATACAGAAAACACTAAATTTTTGACAACCTTTATCAATCTTTTAAAGTGCTGAATTTCAAAAGTCTACCAAATACATGTTTAATTGTATTTATTTGATAGATCTTATACTTAAAGTTCTAGGTTATTAAAAGTATTTTTCATTTTTCATCATATAAACTTCGACACCCTTTTTAACCCCTTAAGAATTCAATTTTGAAAAACCTTTCTTGGTGGCAGTCCATTTTATATAAGTAACCTCTGTTCAAAATTTTAAATTTCTAGACTCAGCGGTTTGAGTTGTGCGTATTGTTATGTCAGCTAATAAAACAAGAACCTGACTGTTTCTTATTTTATGTAGATAGTAAACTAGTAAATAATAATACATAAACTAAACTCATATAGATCAATTAACATCCTGAATGACTTTCAACGGAATTACTTTATGTTGTATTATTTGTATTGTCATTGAATATTTATATTTATTATAATCAATAGTAGGTATAAATGTATTACTAAGATTTTAAGGGCCACTATCATAAATTTATTAAACGAAGGAGTTTGTTAGATTCTTAAATTGAGTTTTATGGTTGATAACATACCACGTGATTGGTCAGTTATCTTATAAACTCATTTTAAAAATCAACTTTTATTTTGGTGAGAATAAAAAAACGAGAATCGTACCATTTTTTTTTTTTTTTTGTGCGAAAAAGGCTATGCACGTGTTTTAAAACCATTCAAATTGTAACATATAAGCCAATAAAGTTTGTGGTATCGAAAATTCTATTTTTTTTTCCTTTTTCAGACTGAGCACAGTTTTAATTCATTTTTTATAAATTAAAGTTTTAATTAAATAAATTTAGTTGAAATTACTTCTACATTATACTGGTTGTTATTTTCAATAGCAATACATTTGACTACAGGTGCAAGTAAAATAATATTACAATTTTTACGAACATTACCTGTCGTTAGTTTATATATTTTTTTAAATTTTAAACGTATAAAATCGATTTTAGAATATAAAGTAAAAAAATAAATAGTTGTATAAGATATGTGTTAAGACTGTGAGATTATTATAAAAATGTAACCTGAATTACAAAGAAAATACTCATTTGGTTGGAAAATGCCATTAAATGAAGGGTGAAAAATAAGAATAGATCCGCACCAAGTTATAGGAAATAGAGATGTAGTTAAAATGAGGATATGACTAAAATTCCAAACGTCATAGATGAGGGGGCGATAAAAAGATTTCCAACCGATTATAAATAAATTGATGGGTATATGCTATATATACTGTATATACGGGTATAGGATGACTGTGACTTGAATCTGAGTCGTTAGTGGGGCGACAGTTTGACGTCACGGAGATTCGACTATTTGTAACCATGGAAATACAGAGTCCCCGAAAAAAACCATGGGAAAATAGCTGGAATGAAATTTTACACGCCTTTTTGTGGGAATCGAAATGTAGTTTTTTTTTGTGAAAAGAAATTTTAAACAAATTCTTACATTCGACTTTAGTTACTAAAGTTTGAATCAATCTACTAAAAATTATATTCAAATTAAAACATGCCCCCATATTGTGGCAAAATATTTTCCTTGGTTTTGTTAGACTAAAATACAAATAAAATCTTTTGCTATGGGAACCTACCTATTTTTTCTAGTCTTTTGTGTATTAGGTGTTTGACTTTGTAAACAAGCAGTAAAAAGGTGTCCACCCCCTGTAAACAGGTCAACGAAAAAATAAAACAACTACCATATGGTTCGAATAACCTTTTAACTATTTAAATAATGGACAGTTAAAAATTTGAATAATTGGGGAAGATTTTGCAATTTTTCAATAGGTACATATAAATATTAATAATAGTAATAATATTAATAATAATAGATACTCGTCATAATAATACTTTATGGTGAATTTCATCCAAGGTAATAGTGTAGGTATATATTACTTATGTAAATGCTGGAAATATTTTTCTATGCGGCTAACAGCTGTACCATGAAGAAAATTCGGAATGTGGCGAGACGACCATTTTTCTCGTCAGATAATACATAACATACCACCTCTTTACCATGAATAATATAAATGAAGCAAGTACTTATGTATGCGTAATGAATTTTAATTATAGAAAAAACTTAAATGTATAGAGTAGACCGTATGGTATGATACATCATATATATACAATATACACACATATATATATATTATTGAATGAAATACGGAGGTTTTCTAATGAAGATAAAGTAATAAATTGATATTTATGAAAAACATAGATTTCATATAGTCAAGTCGACAAAAACGAATTTCCAGGAAATACAATTTTTAGAAAATTAGCAAATTATTAGAAAACAGAAAATAATTGTAAATGTTCGGTTCAAGTTAACGAACAATAATATAGGAATCACTGTTATATTGTTTACAAAAAAGTGTTTACTTTTTTTGATTATCTTAGTCTAGAAATCTTTGGAATTAAAAAAGTTGACTTACTAATGAATATAAAACAGGACAATAGTTATTATTTTCATTCTAAGCTCTAAGGAGGTTAAACTACCCCAGGAGGGATTGTTTGAAAGGTACTAAGGGATGATAGATTTGTTTTGGGCAGTAGAGAGAGGGTAGACAGTGAGTATGTTTTGGATAGTGAGCGGCGAGCGTGTTTTTGTGCGATTATTTCATAGAACGAAATCAAGTTCTTTTTTGATCATTCATTTTTCATTGGTGATTTCAATTTTTGTTTATTATTTCAATTCAGCAGCCCTCTTCTCGTTCGAATACTCATAATTATGAGATTTCTAAATAGGAGTGCGTAGAAAAATTGTTTTTTCTTCAAGGGGGCGGTAACTTTAAAAAGGTTGAGAAAAACTGTTCTAGCCTATTTATAAATTGAACATTTAATTTAAATAGGTACTACTGAAGAAAAGGTAATTTAAAATATTTTACCAGTAGATTAGGTTCGATTTCTAAATTAAGCTTCAAAATTAAATGAAATGAAATAATAGATGAATTTGTTAATATTAAAACACATTAAAGATAATACGTTTGATTAATTATTTTATACATACTAATAAATTATGAAAAATCTAATAATTTATATCAAATAATTAATAATTATAACAATTATAATTTTATACAAACTGGATTTCTTTTTTACTTCATGTAAACTTCATGTTCTACTTTTTTAATCTGTATTATATCTAGGTTCTTTAAATTACATGGAAAAAACTAAAAAACTGCTAAGAGACGAAGGGGCTGAGTTCCGACATGCCTACAGCACTACCCCCATGTGCTGTCCGTCCAGAAGCTCGCTGCTTACTGGTCTATACACACACAACCACGAAGTGTTTACAAACAATGACAATTGCAGTGGACCCGTTTGGCAGAATGTACACGAGTCAAGAACATTCGCCACCTATCTGACAAACGATGCAGGATATCACACAGGTATAGTAATATGGTACTATAACCCTCCATGCATTATAAGTACCTACCTATTTAACATCTACAATGTTTTAGTTTTAAATTGTTTTAAAAAATCAACTCGCTATTGCAACATGCATGTATTTTAAGTAGGTATATACCTACTGTATAAACGGCTGAAACATATTAATTAATTGAAGTAAAATCTAATTTTAGGATATTTTGGAAAATATTTGAACAAATACAATGGGAGTTATATACCTCCAGGTTGGCGACAATGGGGAGGTCTCATTATGAATTCTAAGTATTACAATTATTCGGTGAATCTGAATGGCAAGAAAATTAAGCATGGTGACGACTATCATAAGGTAAGAATCATCTATGATATATTATTGATGTAATTAAATTATTTGTTAAACTTGTAATTTATTTTAGGATTACTATCCAAATTTAGTCACCAATGACTCAATAAACTTTCTTCGATACACAAAACAACATCACCCTCATCGTCCATTTATGCTCGTAATGAGTTTTCCATCACCACACGGGCCTGAAGATTCTGCACCGGAATACTCCAATATGTTCTTCAATGTGACTTCACACCAGTAAGCTTAAACTAATTAGGTACAAGATTTATGTGAAATTGAGAAGTCGTGTGTGGCAACTAGTCTGCACAATTTGTGAATGAAACCGGTTCACACCGATTTGATAGTGCTGATCGCTATCAAACCTATTTTTTAACTGGCTCTAATATTATGCTCCCAAACCATTTTAAATTTTCTAATATTTTACTATTACTATAAATATTACGATACTAATATAATAGAAATACTATAGTAATAGTAAATTTTCTAGTAAATCATACAGAAAGTATTATATATTTTAATTCATTTTCAACTGTCACTATACTTTGCATAGTTTACTAGTTTAGGTACCTAGTCTACTACATTCTACAAAAAATAATTTTCTTGTAGTAAAATTAATACATTGATTTATTCCGAACTCTTACAATTAATAATATTATTTTTAACATTATATGCAAACCATGTTTTAATAATTTTTTTTAAGTTTAATGTTTAACCTTTGTTGAAAATTTAGAGCTATTTACAACTAAAAAACATATATCTAATCAAATATAGAAAATGGTATAAAAGCATAAAGTAATAAATCTATTTTGAATCATATCTTATGCTTGATTATTTAATCAATTCTCAAAAGTTTAGCTGTAATTATTACACTAAAATAATGTACTAAATTAAAATTATATCAATGAAACACAAAATATAACAGTTGTTAGACAGTTGATTGTATACATTTGTCTTGCTTTGCTCACTTTGGCACAGAATAGTGAAATAATATTACCTATTTTAAATTTAAATACAAATCAAATCATAACCGATTTTAGAAAACCACAAGTTAAAAATTTGAATTTAAATAGCAGTTAACATTTTCAATTAGTTTACATTATTAGATCACTTATATATATATATATATATTATATTATATTATATTATATTATATTATATTTATTATTTACAGTACCCCTACGTATGACTTTGCTCCAAATCCTGACAAACAATGGATATTACAAGTAACTGGACATATGTTACCAATACATAGGGAATTCACTAATTTATTAATGACTAAACGATTACAAACATTACAAAGTGTAGATGATTCTGTTTCAAGAGTAAGTTAACAAGAGTTAAAACATTTAAAACTAACTTTTGTTCTAATTAAAATTTGTTTACAGGTTTATGAAGAACTAAAACAATTAGGCGAATTAGAGAACACTTACATTATTTATACTTCAGACCACGGTTATCACTTAGGTCAATTTGGTCTTGTTAAAGGTAAATCTTTTCCATTTGAATTTGATGTACGTGTGCCAATGTTGGTTAGAGGACCTGGTATTGAACCTGGAACAAAGTAAATGTCTAGATCAATTTTATTTGAATTTATTTATTATTACTTGTATTTGATTATTTTATTTATTTTTAGAGTAAATGAAATAGTTCTTAACATAGATTTGGCACCTACGTTTTTGGACATTGCTGGAGTTAGTCCTCCTCCTCATATGGATGGTCGATCTGCATTCAAATTATTTCATAAACATAAAAAGGGAAATAAAAAGTTTGTCGCACATTGGCCTGATACATTTTTGATTGAAAGTAGTGGTAGACGAGAACACAATAAAAATAAAAAAAATTCTACTTCCTCATTGCTATCTAACAATAATGGTAAATTATTATTAAACTAAAAATAACAAAAACTAATCCACATCATTTTTTTTTATTTTTTAAAAGATTTTAGTATAGAAGACGATTTAGAAATGGTTGCTGGTAGTAAAGCTAGCAAACTTTTTGTATTGTGTCAGAGACCAGATTATCAGACCCCTTGTAAACCAGCACAAAAATGGCATTGTATACATGATGGATTTAGGTTTGCATTTTTAAAACAAGCTATATTTTAACTTGATATAGTACTGAGTATAAATCTAACGCACTTTGGTTTTTAAGCTATATTTATTAATCATTATCATATATTATTATGGTTTATAGATGGCGAAAACATAAATGTAATCTAAAAAAACGCAATGAACTTCTAAATGGACTAAACAAATGTACTTGTTTTACTGCTGATGGGAATTTATACACAAAACTTGAAATAGATAAAAATAAAAAACATATTTCTAAGTAAAATTTATTGTCAACATTGAAAGTTTTTATTTTGAGTAATTTTTTAAAAATTTTTTTTAGAAATTCAAAAATGCCTCACAGAAATCGATTTCGCAGGGAAATTTTAACTCCTCTCAATAATAATATGTCTTCAATTATAAATGTATTAAACAAAAAAATTGATGTCTTACAAACATCAGTCAATGATTCCTCGTTGGCTAGTTGTACAGTAACTCCTAATGGTGATGTTAAATGCACAAATATTGTATATAATAATCCAAAAGTTTGGAAATTCAGTCAAAGTCATATCCAAAAACAAATTTTAAATTTACAAGTGAAACTAGAGAAACTTAAAGAAATACAAAAACACTTAGAAAAAAAACGACCAAATTTTGAAGAGAAAGAAGATGAAGATGAACATAATGAAGAGGATTCTGCTTTTAACTTTTCTACAGACTATTCGCCAGCTCAGTGGAACCCTAGGTCAGTAAAATAATAAATATAATTTAAATTTAAATTTATTGTAATAGATATTTATAATTATCCATAGTATGATACCTGTACACAACTACAACATGGGTCCTGACAGTGTACTTGTAGATGGTGTTGAATCCCATAGGCTAAGACACCATCATGGAAATAAGCAACAGTCTGAAAATGTCACTGAGACTCCTACAGATTCATGTTATTGTGTTCCTTTCATGTAAGTGCATGAAAAGATTTCTCCATTTGATATGCATAATATTAATGAAATTATGATTTTGATACAATAGGTTTAGTGATAATGATCCTGCACTAAATAAAGAAGTGAAAAAACTATTGAAAGTACATAGACAAAAGAAAAAAGGACGAAAGTTTCGAAAGAAAAATTCTAAACTAAATAAGGAGTGTATGTTAGAAAAAATGAACTGTTTCAATCATGATAATGATCATTGGCGAACAGCACCATTTTGGACAGGTATGGTGATTTAATTAACATGTTAAATAGGTTTACACTACTCATTAAAAATACTTCACAATTAGTACATAGTAATCATAGATCATCAAAATGATAATTTTTTTATTAAATTTTAATTAAAAACCATACTATTTAAAAAATATATTTTTTAAACATAAATATTTGTTTAAGTAGGTACTTAATGTATTATTTTTTATATTAAAACTGCTGTGTGTAATTCTTCAATAACAAATTGTTTATAAGCATTCCTGTATTTTTATTATAAAAAAAAAACTAACAGAGTAATAGTTATAAAAAAAAAAAAAAACATTAAAAGTATAATATATTTTATTAACATAATGGCATATTTAAGTTTAGAAAATGGGTTCTTAGGCTCTTAGAGGCCCTATAGCAAATTGTAATTTTATAATTATGTGTGGCGGATATTACAGTAGGTAACAATTTTAGAAAAATAAAAATAATTTATTCTATTCAAAAATAATGTTTTATCTGTCTTTTCAAACATTAGTAAAATTTAATTTTAATTTATTTAATAGTCATAAAGTACCTATACAATTGCTTTTTATGAATTATTTTTTTTTTTTACAGAGGGACCGTTTTGTTTTTGTATGAACGCAAACAACAACACATATTCATGTCTCCGAACAATTAATGCTACACACAATTTCCTCTACTGTGAATTTGTCACTGGGCTGGTAACATTTTATAATATGAAATTTGATTTATTTCAACAGTGGAATCAAGTGAACACTTTAGAGCCTAAAGAAAGGGAATGGCTTCGATCATCACTTGCAGAAATGATACGCTGTAAAGGTTCTGCTCAATGTGCACTAAGCCCAGTTAAACGTAGAAAAAAACTAGAGGGTTTTAATCCATTGTCAGCTGTTGGTAAGTCTTTAAATTCTATAGTTTTTATGAGTATTTTGCTATACTGAATACTCCATTATACTATTGACAGATGAAGCAATAACAAGTAAAAAATTACTTATGGATCAACCTAAAGATGTGGACATTGTACGATACCGATAGTACATAATATATCAAAAACTATAGTGTAAAAATGCAGTATTATTCATTTTTTTATATATATATATATATATTTGTATTAATTTATTTAAACTATACATTGATTTTTTTTTTTTGTATAAATTACTTGATGTGATTTATGTATATTGTATTTATATGTAAAATTTGTTGAATGCCTAATAAATTGTTTAGAACATTTTTATTTATTTATTACATTTTAAAGTTATTTTCACTCCATTAGTGTTATGTTATTTAGAAAACAATAGTACCTAAAATAATACTTAGACAAAGTAATCTATCAGCTGAGACCCTAAGGCAAAATATTTGTACATGTTGTTTTTAAAAAAAAAAAATATATATTGTAGTTCAGTAGTTGATCATGATCATTGTCACTGTGTTTGGTTTTGCAGTATTGCACACGGCTGCTACAAAATGCATTGCTGGTATATATATCCACTTTTAAATATTTATTATTTATAAGGTTAATAATGAGTCAACTTGCAGGAGATTGTATGTTGGATGCAAGTTCCAGAAAAAATTCTGAAGACAATTTACACTTTGTCAATTATATGAATGAATCAAAAGTATTTGGTCGTGGATTTTACGATGACTTAAATAAAATTATTCAAGAAATGGCAATATCAAATGCAAACTACAATAACTATCAAATCACAGACAGTATCGACGAATTACACAAGTAAACTACCTATTTACAAGTACCTATAATTTACATAAATTAATAGGAATTATTGAGATATATTTTATTAGAGGTTTTTTTTTTTTTTTTAGTTTTTTGAACTATTCAATTCCTTGTGGTATTCGTCGAAGAAGGCTAAGACCAAGATTTGTCAGCAATAGAGTGGTCGGTGGTTCAAATTCGAGCCCAGGTAACGATCCTATACCAAACGATATTATTAATACATCTAACTTATATAACCTTTACCTAACTTATTTCATTTTGTCCATTGTTTAAAGGTGAGTTCCCATGGCAAATATCACTGCAACTCATCACTGGTCGAACAGCTAGACACATATGCGGCGGATCTGTAATCAGTGAAACTTGGATTTTAACTGCAGCGCACTGTGTATACGGACTCTCGGAAGACTTGCTGTCTGTGGTGGCCGGTAAAAATAATCTTTACGCGTCTGAAAGTAATTTTATTTAAAATAATGTTTTTGCATATTATATAAATGTATGGACGATTTGTTTTCCTAAGGTTACGGACAGAGGGTGAAAGTCATTGGCATATATTTTAACGGGTTCAACAAAGACAAACTGTCAAAAGACATTGCATTGCTCAAGGTATTTCCGTCTTTAATTTTCGATGGCAGTCGGGTGTCCCCAATTTGCATTCCAAAACCAGGAACTCGATTCGACAGCGGTAATAATATATTACACAATAGATGTAAAAGGGGTTGGAAGTGGTCTTCCAAAATTTCTCCAATTTTGAAAGATTTGAAATTATTTTTTATCTTTTAATGACCACCTTAATGATAAGACTTTTCCATTAATTTATTGCCCAATACCCATTTAATACGGCCGTTTTTACAGATAATTTAACAGTTAAGACTAATAAGCGCAGTATAAAATTAGACATATTTTCTAATGTCCAATTTAAATTTGTAAAATAAATATTTATGAATTTTTCAACAAATTTTCTAAATTATTTAGGAAGTAGGTTTTTCGTTTTAAGATTTTCTAAAATAAATAACAATATCTGAATTTTGAAAGTCTTAAATTATGAAAATTGACAATCGGCTTACTAAATATTTTGGAAAATTAGTCGAAAACATTCATAATTACTATAAAATTAAAATCGGACATTGGTATGCATATCTAGTTTCCCATTGCTTATTGATCTAAAATATATGGAAAATTGGAGTTTTTCAACTCCTTTAAAATTAATGTCTGTTCAGCTCTATGGACATCCCAAATTATTTAAAAAAATTAATGTATACATTCTTTGTCTTATAGCAATAGCGATGGTAACCGGATGGGGTCGTGTGTCGGAAAACGGAGTGTTCGCACACATCTTACAAAAAGTGCAGTTACCCTTGATGCCATTAGACACTTGTCTGGATGTGTATAAAAACAGTGGTTATGGCGATTTGATCAATCGGTGTGTGGTTTGTGGTGGTGGATCGTCGATAAACGTGGCCGACTCTTGTCAAGTATGATTAAAATTCAAGTATTATTAGGTAATTTTAGATATTATTATAATGTTATAAATCGGCTAGAACATTACTCATAATTAAAAGTTGCCCATTTTGTTTAGTTGCAATTGTTGCAAATTATTTAATAGGACATTAAATTGCACAATTAAGGCATCGCCCTAATTTTTATTACTGGACTTTAGGTTGTCTATTAACGGGTACCAATTTGATTTTAGGGCGATTCTGGTGGACCGCTATCGTGTCTAGCTGACGACAACCGTTTCTATTTATGTGGCATCGTCAGTTGGGGACTCGGATGTGCTCGGCCAGATTACCCGGGCGTATATACCGCAGTGTCATGTTACGCTAATTGGATAAGGTATTCAATGCGTTTTGAATGAAACGGAAAAAGACAAAAATCAATTCAATTTGTGCAACTACATATAATATAAAATTATGTACTCAATAATAATAGTAAATAATGATAAAATCGATATTGCTGTAACTAATTACAAGCGTTGTTGGAATAGCGATTTTATGAAAATAAATTTGTTCGGCAAACCTATTCAAAATGTTATACTTATTTCGTTATATTTCGTTTCATAATATTTCAACAAAGCCGTATAATAGCCAACTTAGAAACTGATATCGTCAAAACGATATTTCAGGGAAACAAAACTCAATATAGTGTACTTTTATACCAAGTATAAATATTGTTTTCATAAAATATCAAGTAATTGTTTTGTAAAAATGTGAGAAATTATTGTTAGTATTATTGTTGACGAGCTATCTAATTACAGAATAATATCATGTTGTTTTGATCTGCTCTCGTCTTTTAATCATTAAACTATTTTTTAACGACCATAATATAATGCCCATTAGGACGGTAAGACAAAAACTTTTCGTTTTATGACTTATTGTTCTTGAAAATCATGTTCCATTGCGTAATATTGTTTTACATGACACACAACACTCCTAATTATCTTATCGTTAAATACAATATAACTTAAAGATTTTTGTGTCGTAGTTAAATAACATATAATTTAACAGTTCGTGTATAGTGATTAACACGAAATACGACTCGACCAAAAACCGGAAACGTGAAAATCAAGAGAATATCTCGCAGGAAACCTAAAATCGACAAAATATTGCACAGGATAATAATAACTGAGAAAAACATAACCAGGAAAACTACAACGAGGAAAGAAATTGAATAGGAAAATATTTATAATAGTGAAGTATAACCAGTATAGGGAATTATCATGTCCTTGGTTTTTATTTTCCCGGTAATAGTTTTATTCTTAATTCCCTAGTCTTATTAACTGTGTCTTAAGCTCGCCCAGTAATTGCAAATAATTATATAACATTGCTATTGCATTGTTTTTCCCAGATTTAATTTCCTGCGCAGTATTTCAGTTCCTACGTATTTATTGAAGTTCTCATCCGTCAAAACATATTCCTTATTTAATAGAAATTATTATGGACAGATTATTAATTTGATAAGACGTTGAACAAAACTATTGTTATTATTGTGGACTGAAAAAAAATGGATGCGCCACGATTGCAGATAAAAAGTTGAGAAGGTTAAAAATCTAAATATTTATTTAATTTATACCAGTGTGTACTCAACGATAAATCATTGCTGACGAAAAGCGATTCTGAACGAAGTTTAATCGAACTTCGCTCATGTTTTGCCATGATTTTTTTTCAAAAAATAGAAAATAAAAAAAATATGATTGAAGCATATTTAAATATCTACATAGTTGATCAAAAAATAACAAGAAATGCATTTGGTGTATTTTGGATTTAATTGGAGAATTGGAAAGGTAATTTTATGATTTTGACAGTTTATCATAAATTGTATATAATGGTCGAAAAAAATTCAGCATGTTTAAAGTTTTCGTAGAAAAATTACGTTATTTCCGTGAAACTATGTGAAAATTTGTGAGGAAAAAAGCGTAAAAAACAAATTATCTAATGCGGAGAAGTAAATAAATGGGAATATTGAAAAATAAATTCAAAATTAAAGAAAAATTCGACAAAAAGTTGAAAAAAAGTGCAAAAAATTTTGGCTTACGGTCTGATTGTATTGGTGGGGCTGCGCACGGGAGCTCTGCTCGCAGGCAATGTCCCGCTACTGCTCACCGCGGAGACTTTTGGCTGCTGGGTTTCCCCTCTGGCCCGGTTCGCCTCTCCTTAGCCAACCTGGACTCCGAAGGCTACCCCACGGAGCCCATATTGACGACAAGCTTAGCGCGGATGTCCGTTCAACGCGGAACCGACCGTCGCAGTGCTCCCCACCTCAAATCATCCACGTAAACCGACTTTCAAAGAAGCTGAATTACAGGAGTTCGCCGCCACTCCCAGTCTCTTACAATGGCGAAAATACTTTTATTTAAATACCGTAATCTCCTGTTGATACTTATGGAAAATTATCGTTCACGTTAAATTCGATTCGTTTTACGATTTTATGACCTTTTTCGCTATGGACTGAACGGTTTTTTTCCCGTTTTATAATTTTTCCGAACGTTTTTCGAGTGGTCGCGGTTTAGCACTTTATCATTGCCAATAACGTTATCATACCTACCTATTTTGTTTTCGAATGTGATACCGCTCGCAGGAAATTTACATTCCGTCATTCTGCAATTTTAGCCGTTTTATGCAATTTTTATATATTTAGGGATTATTATTATTTTTTTTTGAGGAAAAATGTTCAATTCTTCAAGGTTTTTATCTAAACTTTTGCCTACCCCATTCAAACTAATACAGCCGATCTCGTTGGTTCTGTGTAAGGCTTTGAATAATCGTTCAGTATGGAGTATTTGCAGTCGGTATCCACAGTCAGTTCATTCAAATAAATTTGAAAGTCTCAATTTGAATAATCGTTACAAACGCACGAAAAAAGTAAAGTTTTCTATTGACTCAATAATACGCTGTAACATAATTTTGGGTTAAACTCACTTTAACTTTTGTCTACTAGTCCTAAATTATTTGGCTGGTGGTTTTTCGAACTAATATTACTTATTAAAAAAGTTGCCAGTCTTACCTGTGTTTCTTATTTCAACTTGTATGTCCTAAGTCACATTACTACAATCATATAACAATAATTTCGTTACTCTAAATATTAAATTTTAAAATTTTCTTTACAGGATGACGATGACTTAGACAATGAATTAGATTTAGAAATGGACGATTCTAGTAAACTAATAACATTTAGAACAAGTACCTTGCGAATGGATGCTGTCTTAAAACATGCATTAGGAAAGTCAAGGAAGTAATAGTTTTAATATTGATATAATTATTTATTGTATAAAGACTATTAATTATATTTGAACTGATTTTTTTTCATTTTAGTAAAATTGAAGTTGCTTTTTACAATAGTCAAATTCGAGTAAACGGAAAAAAAATTTCAAAAAAAAGTCACACATTAGAAGTGGGCGATGAAGTAGACCTTGTTAAAGGTCCTAGTCCAAATAATCCAGACTTTCTAATAGTCTCCAGAGTAGAAGTAATATCTACTAAATTAGACGGTGATGAATTAGAAGTTAAATTGAAAAAGTTTAAGAGTCTTTTGGTAGATAATTATGAGAATACATGGAAATCGTCATCATGAATATTTGTATATTGTACATAATTTAGATTGGATAATAAACGATTGCCTAAAATTGTTCTTAGAGCGTTTGAATTTAAAAACAACCATTTTTATGTCACCAATATTTAATTTTTAACCAGGTTATTAATATATTTTTATTTAATAATGTTTGTGTTACTGTAAATGTTAGCAATCAGTTATTACCAGTAATGACTATGTAGTCATTATTAGCAATAGCTATAATTCAATCGGGAAATATTTAAATTGTCTAGGTATTAGATTACTAGAACCATTGACTAAAATGATTAAAAATATATAGTTAAAATAAGCATTATTAAAAATGTATACATCAAAACTATGTTTAAATCATTTGATAAATTAAATTCTGACTAAATTACATTATAATTTTTTAAGAAAAATCATGTTTATTTTTTTTACGTTTTAATTGTAATTAGAAAGTTTTTTTATTTTATGTGTATGTAACCAGAAAATGGCTTTGGCCAAAACTAGTAGTTACCTTATTTTTTATTGACTTTCTATATTTAATAATTCTATTTATTAAATATTTAAAAAAATTATTATAATAATACAATAATAAAATCACCAATGTTTTGTAGAAGTAAAATTACATTAACACCAAACTAAAAATACTTGACTGAAGCAATTATAAAATTTTTTTATAATAGAGTTAATACAACTATAATGAATTATTGTTTGCATTAGAGTTAAAGTTTCATCACCAATTGATAATCAATTTAGGAAATCTAAATTTTGTACAAATAAATATTGATAGTGAATAACAATTTTTAATTACTCATTACTAATGTGTGTACCGGTTTAAATGGCATTGCCTAGGTGTTACTAGAAAAGACAGATTTTCTGACAATTATAGTAACATTTATATAAAGTAAAATATAGTCAGTATTTTGTGATTGACATTATATTAAAAAATATTTAACATTCATAAAAACAATAATTATCAGAAGCCAAATATTGATTTAAAATATATTTGTGTTATAAAATAATGGTAACAAATTAAAATTAATACCTCACCATTTTTCTAAAAATTTAAATAATTATTAATTTCTAATAGTTAAAATGCAACTAATAAATTAAAAACATAAACAATATTTGTTCCAATATTCAATATTTCAAGTTATAAAATAATAAAAAGAAAATGCCAATTTCTATTGGATTCATGCCATTGCACTGGCTGGTAACGAACTATGTTTTGGTTTCATTCGATTAATGAATACGCGTATGCATCCATTAAAATCTGCACTCACCAAAACATATCCGTCTTGGCTACTGTTTTCGTCAGTTTTCATTTGTCTGAACACAACTTCTGGATTAGGTGCGAAAATTGCACAAGTTACAACAGCATTATGTGCTTTGATTCCTTCCCAATAGTCATTTCGATCTCGCCTCACAGATGTAAATTTTGAATAGTCATGGTGTGTTTTCCATACATAAATACATTGATTTTCTGACCCACACACTATATATTTACCATCATGACTGAAACTAGCTTTAATTTGACTACTTATATTAACATAACCTTTATATTTGCAAGATAAATTTAAATCTCTGAGATCATACAATCTAATGCGACTATCATTAGATGTGACCAACACTTTATCTTCACCAGGCATTGGTTCAATACCACTTATCTTACGTCCAGTCGAATTTCTACCTCGAGTAGATCGTACATGTATTTGTGTATGGTAACGAAGTTGATCTGTTGTATAAAATATACAGCGACCATCATAAGAACCTACAACAGCAAATTTACCGTTCTGACAAAAGTTTGCAGCAGTTATGAGTTTTGTTTGTCCTTCAACTTCATTCCAAACTGCTACTTTTTTATCGGGAATATTCCAGAGCCGTAGTTTTCCATCCAGTGATCCGCTCAAAAAATAACGATCATCTCGTGGATGAAAACAAATAGCAGTGACAAAATCAATGTGTTGAAAGCAACATAAACATTCTCTTCTGCTTATATGCCATAATCGGACTGTTTTATCCATTGATGAAGATAGGACAAAATAATTTTTTGACCAGGCTATATCTAGTAAATCAGAACGATGTCCATTATAAGTGCAAAATGGACGTGACATAAATGGTCCACGATCGTCTGGATCAGCAGCAAATGATTGATCATCAACAGAAAGTTGAGAAACTAAAGACTCAGTTGATGGAGTGGGTGAAACTTTATCAGCATCATATTTTTTACGCATTTCATGAAAATCTTTAAAAGCATCTCGCAGGACCCAGACTCGAAGTACACGATCTTGTCCAGCAGTAGCTAATAATCTACCACACATGGAAAATTTCATACACCAAACAGGTCCCGTATGTTCATTGCAAAATTCCTAAAAAGAATATGTATTAAGGCAAGTACGTATTATAACTACTGAATTTTATAATTTTAACAACTAACTTGAACATGCTGAACAGAATCAAATTCATAAGGTCCTTTGTGACTGTTTGATGCTCTTAATTTGAATGTTTCACTAACAGGTGGTGCATTAGGAACATCAGTTGTAGGTTGTGGCCTTTCTACGAGGTCTACAATTTCCATAACATCTTCTTTGTGCCTTACATGAGATACTTCATGCACAATGGTCCTAGCTTTATTTACAGTTTTCTTAACAGTTGTACCCAAAAATCGTTTGATTCTAGCTGTCCGTCGACGAATTGTAGATTCATCAACAGGATCATCCCGCCCAGTAGCCACAGTATCATTTGATTTACTACCTATACTTTCTTCATCAGATTCTTTAAGTTTCTTTATAGAATTGGATCTATAGGAATGGGAGTCTAAGTTTGGAGTACTAACATATTCAGATGTCAAGCGCATTATGTGTAATGATAATGGGTTAATGCATTGAGGTAATTTATCTTCAGCTATGCTTAGTGGAACTCTTTCTCCAGTATCCAAATTTAATACAGTTATTTGTTCCAGTATTTCCTGCATCAAAAATATCATAAATAATATAAAATCATACATTACTTAACAAAGAGGAGAGGGGGAAGATATTTTCCTACTGATTCAGGTATTCAGTGGTGTAGCAAATATATTAATTATGTAAATTTAAAAAGATTTATCAGTATTCAGTAGAAATAATAATTTCCTTAATGTTATTATCCATGAAGTCTAATTTCGTTGATATTATATAAATAGATACAACTCTAGATAAAGTTATTTTATCATTAAATGAATCAACTATTTATATTTTATATTTATTATTATTCCTGGAATTGGAGGTTCAAAAATATCTAATTGTAAACTATTCTTGTCAACAGTTGTACATGAAACCATATTTTTTTAAATTAAGTATAGTTAAAAATAAATTAAGGAATATAATGAAACAAAAACGATTAAATGGTTTGCTAACAATATTCAGAGAATAAAAATTGGCATATGAAATTTGTATTGATGAAGTTATTGAGACATCTAACTATTTAAAATGATTAAAATATAAATTTTTATTTAACAAATATAGCTAATTTACAAACAATAAAAACACCTTTTATTTATTTATTTGTTTGTTCACTCAAGTTTTCCCTAATCAATGTATGCTTTCATAAGCACCCATAAGCAATGGCGCTGAATTCAGGGTATAAGTTGGATAACTGGCCTATCAAATTTTTTGGTGGTGCCAGTAGTGAGAAACATATACTATATGAGCAATATTTGTAGAAAATTTAAATATAAAACTAGTACTATGAATTATGTAGTATAATTTACCTATTATATGGTATGTAATAAAAATATTGAGCATGTTTGCTCGAGTATTTGTTAACTATTCCGGTGCTACTGCCCATAAGATATTTGCAAAAAGAACAGGGTAAATTTTTACCTCAACATAACAGGCATGTGATGATCTTAATTTATAATGCTTAAAATATTTTAAGACATGTCCCCCTTTCCATAATGAGAACCTATGTATGCTCCACAGCCAAGAGTCTGGATACCTCTATAATACCTAATAGAAAATGCTTACTATATCTGTTAATTTTTTTCCGGAATCTGTATGAGTTTTTAAAAACATATTTAACTGCTGGTCTCTCAATTCTTGTTCATCTCCAGCTGATCTCCGACGTTCACGTGAAGTAACACGGTTACATGATCTATTAGATGCAATACCACTTGTGCTAGCCATAGGATATGTATTACTATGTGAGGTAAGTGTTTTGGATTTTTCTTTCACTTCTTCAATGGCTTCTTTAATCATATTAAGAACTGGTTTTTCTTTGTCCTAAAATAATTTAATAAGTACTTAATTTATTTAAGCTACTAACATATAATATTACTCACATGATGATTAACAATATATTGGCCTTTAGTAGCAGAATGAAGATCTAATGAATGTTCCAATTCTCTTGTCAAAGATTCAATGGTACTTACAGGACTTGTTAAACAATTGGCATTGGTTTCATCTTTTTCTACATTCAACTGCAATTCAAAATTTATTTAATAAACTTAAAAAATTTTTATAAATTACTATGGTTTGTACTTTAAAATTATTTTCAATTTTAGCACCATCATTTTCAATAGAGATATTTGTTGGTTTATTACGTTGCCGTCTTGGTGGTCGTCTAGGAGGGGCCATAGGATTATCAGTATCTATATTAATTGTTCCATTATTTGGAATTTTTGTGCTTGCTATTACATCAGGTTCATGAAAAGTATTTATATTTTCATCAGGTACAATAGTTTTATCTTCAGTAGAAACAGGTGTTGATGATTCTGATGATTTATTATTGTCCAATGGCCTTAAAGCCATTTCTTTTCCTAAAATGAAATTATTTTAAAATAGGCATTTAAAAATATACATACCAAATAATAAATACACAATATAAACCTATGAAATAATCTGTATGGATGTTTCCTCCTAGTAGTCTTCCAACTTTGCCCAAGGATAAAATACTTTGCACAGATGCTCCATCTGGCTCAATAACTCTGAAAGGATGACTAGGTCTATGTGAAGGAGCTAGGAATACTCCATCAGCTGATGAGGCTTGACTTTCAGTTGGAGATACAGCTTGCATTTCATCATCATCAATTTGCATATGTTGCCGGATTTCATTGAATTTTCGACGACCATTGTGCTCTGAGACCTGATTTAATAAATTAGAAAATTACATGAGATTGGTAAATTCAGTTTTCTACATTTTTTCAAATTTTCCAAAATTTCAAAATTATTTTTATTTGTATTTCTCATATATATTCTATAGTAAAGAACCTAAAGAATCATAATCCCTTTTAAAAACTTATATCTATCAAACCTAAGTCTCTTAGAGTTTTTTTTGGATTTTAGAACTAAATCGACTTAAGTACACAACATTACTAATCCTTTAAAAACTATTTTATTATACCGATTTAGGAACGCTTGATATTTTAAAAGTCATATTTTTTTTCTTTTCTTCCAAAAGTTCTTTTTCACTTTTGACAGTCTGATTTGATTGTTCACTAAAAAAAAAAAAACTTAATTCTAAAATATACACAGATTTCAAATAAAAAACGATATTATAGAATGTTATTTACTTTTGTTCGCGAACAGTAAACTCTTCAGCATCAAAAAACTCATCAGTATCACTACTAGAATTTGACATTTTTAAAAAATAAACATTGTAATCTTAATTTAGTTTTCTTTTATAATAAGTAATTTAAAAATCTATAATAGATTTATAAAAATGTTTATAGTTTAGTTAATGTCAATTGAATTATCATTACTCATTTAAATTTAAGATAAGAACGTTTTTAAAATGATTACTTTGCTTGGACTAATAATGATTAAAGAACATTACCCAGACTCCGGAGTACTAACTTATAGTCAGTACTAACTCTATGACATTACCCAAAATATTCTTCACATATCTTATCACTTAAAAAATCTTTGTGAGATAATACTGTTCATTACGCCTAAAGATAATTTTGTATGGATTATGCCAAATTTTTTTGTTAACTAACGCGATCTAGCGATACATTTATTGTGATAAATAACTGCATGAACTACACTAGAGAACATTGCTAATCACTATAGTATTATGGACAGACATGTATAAAAAAATTAATTTCGGAGGTAAAAAATCAATAATAATCAGTGTTACGCATAATACTTTAATCTGACCTCCGTTCTTTGCTCAATATTTATTAATGTCTCTATATAATTTTTTAAAGTATAAAGAAGTAATCTGACAAATTTACTTATAAACATGCGGTTCCCAAACTGGGAGGCGCAAATACTTAATAGGGAAGTCGGGAGGTAATTATTGATATTTTTAGATAAACAGCAATTTCATTCAAACTTTTTTTTGTTATTAAATTAGCATATTTTTTATGTGACATTTTTGAAAAAATTAATTTGTTCAACACATCTTTAAAAGGTAAAAAATCTTATATTCTGTAATTATATGATACAGTGGATTGTTTTATGTAAAAAAATCAAATTATGGCAAAGAAAATGGTAAAACAACTTATTTTCCACTTTTAAAACATTTTCTTGAAGATAATGATCTTGAATTACCAACGAGTTCAATAGGTATTAGGTAACAATAATTTCTGATCATCTGATAATACTTGAAAATAATTTTATGAACTATTTTATGGGAAAAATCAAACAATACAATTGAATTAAAGACTCATTTACTGAAAAACTATTATCAAATTGCACAATACACAGAGGAAGAACAATATTGTTAATCGACATTTCATCTGATTTTTCGTTACAAATAAAATTGTATTCATTGTCACTTTTAGGATTTTGGAATAACATTAACTTTGAGTGTATCTATTTTCCCATTTATTATTAAAACTCCTGTTAAAAAAAAAAAAAAACTGTCCTAGGATAATGGAGATGGGTGAAGCCACTGTTATAGGTAATTTAATGTGTATGTATGCAACGATTAATCAAGTAAAATAATAACATTTGCATTATATATTTTCTTTAATAATATTTGTTTAATAGTGTACTTATTTTCCCATTTTTCCTACGTTTTTTCTGGTTTCCCATTTATTGAGAAAACTTCTGGGAAAATAAAAAAATGTTTATTTAGCCTCCATTGAGTTAAAAACGAACGTTTAATTGTAATAGTTATGTAACGGGTAATGTGGCTAAATTATTTTAAATACTGTATAAGGTATATGTTTGGGAAAAAAAAAAACCTAACGCCATTTTAGATGAAATAGTCATTGTAGTTGAGCGATCTTTCCCTGGTACATTTTTTATTTAGCAACCCATATTTTGCACTGAACTATATAGTTAGTATAAGTATGTAGTTCAGTGATATTTTTACTTCTGTGTCGAATGTTTCAAAACGCGGTTAAGTTAACCCTTTAGAAAATGCGCTATTTCTTGTAAATCTTTCAAATTGGTATTTAAATAACTTTGGAATAAGTAATTGTGATTTAGACTAAATGCGATTTTGATTACTGAAAAGTAAATTCATCTTGTAACTAAACAATAAAACAGTCCAGAAAAGGCGAAAATTGATCATTGATTATTATATTGTTCTGGAAAATTAGGTGGAATATTATTATGGTTAGTTTGATGGTATATATAGTTCTTGGTACTTCAATATCTCCTTCTAACTGAATGAGAAAATATTTCTTTGAACAATTGGAATTAATACACATTTTTTTGAATATTTGAGTAACATTTGTTCATCCGTTCATAGCAGTATGAATAGTATAATAAATTAATATCGACTTTTTATAATGCAATCGATAGCGATTAATAGTCAAGTTAGAGAAAAAAAAACTTGCCAATTACATGTAAGGCTATAATACAAAAGACGGACATAATTCGCACGTAAGTGGGTCACTGTTGTAAGTGAGAAGTTGGGAAGGTAGAGAGGAAATTTATTGTATCTATATCTGTACGTAACGATTAACCATTGCTAACAAAAAACGATTCTGAGCAGAGTTCGGTTGATAGTGTTGTTTTTTCAATAATATATATATATATATATATGTCACATTATGGTGAAATAATTACATGAAATAATATGCATTTTGTATTTTCTTTAACAATACCTAGCTATTTTTTTAATATTGTATCTATTTCCTCGTTTTTTCCCATGTTTTTAACCCATTTATTGGGAAAATCGAAAAATGACCTCTCCAAAGTACTATTCCAAAGAAAATTCCTTTTTACAAAAATGACTATATTTAATACTTCAGAACAAGATTTTTGGACACAGAATAAAAAAAAAAATAATAAACATCTTTGTAATATCAATACATATTAATACATTTTTCGCTGCACTAAGAATCTAAAATTTGTTGATAAGGAGTTGAAAAGTAGTTTTCGATGTATTTTAATTTGAATCCTCTTTATTTTTTTTCAAAGTATAATTATATAGCTTCATATGATTCTTTAAATTTAATTAATTTTTCATGATATTCCACTCATCGTGTTTCACAAATTGTAATAAAAGTTATTTTTGAGAAACATGCCAACTTATAATGCGTTCAAATAATGTTCGTGTATTTTGTGATGAAGCTCGGAAAAATTGTATTATTGAAGAAACTATTTCAATACAGTTTCTAATGGATACAGTTTTGAATGAGCTGCCTACAGCCAAATTTAATGTATAAGAAGTGTCAATAATTCTCAATAATTGATTGATATAAATAAATTGCATAAGGTTCATTTTATTAGAAGAACAGTATAACTTGTACACGTTATAACTTACACAACCACAATGAATGAATATTGTATAAAATGTAACTTCTAACTTTCGAAGAATTTTCGGGGGTGAGCGTTTCAACCCCCAACAACTTCCCTTGTTTATTTGCCTGACTATGGATAACCTATAGAATAGTAACACTACAGAAAAAAGATTATTTTATAGTTAATTACACTCTATAGCAGAAGATATTATTTTCTAAATTCCAAGACAGTGACCCTAATAGAACTAATCTAAGAATTTCTGTCATAATTCAGAGAATATTTTGTGTGGTATTCTTCATTTAAATGCAATTCAAAAAATCAAAATTTATAATTATTCTACGAGGCGTGAGAATTTTTCCCGCAAGTTATGTTTTTCTAAAACATTTACTAAAGCTCTGGAAGCCTTATACCCAAGTAGTGCAATGTGTGTTATTTGAAAAAAAGAAAAGGGTCTAGAGAGATCTTTTTCTCAAATCATACAATATTTACGCCATGGTAGTTATTTATTTTTTAGTCATACAAATTATTGTATTGTTTTTTATTTATTATCTAAGTACTTCAGATATGCGATAAAAAGTTAAGCGATATAATTATAAATAATAAAAAGCTAAAATACCAAGTATTAAATAGGTACTAAGTAATATAAAAGCCATGACAATTACATTAACGTTTGAGAAATGATTACATAATATTATTATCCTAGTTGCTAGTGTACTTTCAAACATGGGAGACATTTTTTAAAACGCTATCTATGATTATAATTTATTCTGTTTTATTATATTTATCACGCCAGGTTTCAGACAACTGTATAGGGCTGATTATCTGACGGATCGTTAAATAATGTTAAATAATTTCATTCATTCCATTCCATGCATTTTTGGTAATTATATTTACGACATGGTTTTCGTTTTAAACGTTAATATGGCGCTAAAATAGTATCTTTTATCATTTTGGTAGTTGGTAAACCCATATCTGCAAAATGGGAATTTAATTTTTATTTAAACACACTGTATTAAAATTTGTTTTGATGTGTTTTTTTTTCACGTGTAATCTCGTCTTTTGGAAAATTTATATTAGTGTTTAGTAATTGTTGGACCTCTATCTACTGTAATCAAATAAATTACATTTAACGTTAATTTTACATATAGGTACAAAGTCAATTAATTTCGTTGACGCTCCTCGCGATATGTATTCCAAACGATGACTATTGTAAGTACATATTATCACCATTTTGTCCTTCAACAAGCTAATTTGTTATTCACTGTTCAGTAAATTAACTAATAAATATTATTAAATTGCATGCTCTTCTCTAATTTTATCAACAGACTATAGTTTGTGTTGTACACACAAATACGTAGGCATGGCATCATCCAGCCGAGGAATTCAAATTGGGTCTGCGTGGTTCCAACGCAAAATTAATCTAAGACCACAACACAGAGGCGTACACTTAGTAACAGAAGAAATCTTAAAACAGATATCAGAAATATCTCAATTCTCCGTTGGCTTGTGTCACATACAAAGTAAGTACCTTTTTTTTTTAAATCTTTTATACATTTGTTTGTTTTATAATTTTTTTTATGAAGTTTAATAATAGTAAAAGTAACTATAGTAGGTGGTTAAATGGTGGTTTTAAATCTTAGCATTATTTCTGTAGCGGTATTAAATATCTCGTACAACTTATATCATGTTTTATTCAAATAGAGAAACAGATTAAAAATAGAATATAGCTTATAGATTATTAATTGAGTAGTACCTGCCCAATAATGTGTAATCAAGTATTGCTTATTAATTTAAAAATTATGTACAAGAATCTAACTAAAATTTTATTCCATCCTTAGTATACTTGTGTAAATTAATTATGATTATTTTATTTATTATTATTTTAGTATTGCATACATCAGCTAGTCTTGCCATAAATGAAAGTTGGGATCCAAATGTTCGGTAAGATTACATTTATTATGTTTATTCATGTTTTCTTACTGTGTATATCTCTACCTGTAAAATAGAAACCTTTTTATTTCTGTTAAATAGTAATATCTCTTAATCTTCATAATGAATATTTATCTAAACAAGTTGGTTTACAATGTTTATCTAGTACCTATTATATTGTTGTTTGATTGGAGGATTAGATAAAATATTAATACAAAAATAGACCTACATATTTCCATTCCATCAGTATATACTTTAAATATTATTATTTAAAAATCAATAATATTTATAAACATCTAGGTACATTTTTCTTGGTTTTCATTATTAAAACAGTAGTTTATTGTTTGCAAGTATGTTATACTGTATTAACAATTAGGGTTATACAAATTAAAATATTATTATAAAAATATATTACAAAAACTGCATTTTGTAAAACCGTCATACTTAACTTTTTAAGTAGGTATATTACTGTATTTAGTATAGATATTAGTTTATAGTATATTTTTATTTTACATTTGAATATCTGTGAATTATCACATACAAAATACCGAACTAACTCTAAATAATATAAATTTTGACTTATATTATTGTAAGATTATTCAAAGTATTTTTCAATTCTCAATGTATTTAACAAAATAGAAAATCTAATAATGTATTAAAATAGCTTTTATTATACATACATATTAATTTTTCTGTATATTTTATTAATGGTAAAAAATACAAAGCACTGTATAAATGTTTTTTCGATCAACTCGTATTATACAGTAATATATATAGGTACATAAAGTGTATATATTTATTACAACCCATAGCATGGGTTGTAAGCATGAGTTGTACAATTCTAAACTAAAATTTGTCCAACCAAAAGCAATTAAGGGTTATAATAATTAATTCCAGAGATTTCCATTAAACCTATTTGATACATTTTACAGTAATTTAATAATTCCAATAACGTTATGTTAAATTAAAATTATATGCTTATAAAATTACTTTTTTTTATTTTAGAGATGATATGGAGATGATGTTAAATAAAATTGTTCCAGAAGTGAGTAATTTTAAAAATTATGTACTAATTCCAGTAATCAATAGAATCATATTCAGTGACGGTTGGTGCTTAGGTGCAAGCGAAATGTCATTAACTGAAAACTATTTTTTTTTTTTACCCAATCATATTAAATTTTCCAATAAATATATTGGTGTGCAGTATTAAGTACATATAGTTGACAACTTGAAATATATTGCAACTCTGTGCACAGTTATTACTGCAAGCCGTTTTAAAATAAATGTTATCTTATCTATCTGCATTTAATTTTGAGTTTTTTCCATTTATATTCTGGTTTCTGTATCGAATGGTAAATATTATTTAATAATTGATGTATACTATACAATTTACTAGTTATAAAAAATTCTTTCCTCGTAGAATTAATATGTAATTATTCACTTAATTCTTCAGTAGAAAATTGTTGATAATAAAATTCTCCTTTTATACAAATGAAGAAAATATTAAAATTAAAACATTGAAAAGACTTCTGCCGAATTTAAATGTAATTAAGGTTACAAAACAAGCATTATACTTATCATCATTATTCTAAATATAATATTACTTTGTGGATGTGATTTGAGAAATATTTTTTTTTTTATTATTATTTATGCACTGCTTATTTTTAATACCGCGACCTGCCACTGATTATATCACATATTATTTAAATTAAAAACTAAGTGAAATTTATTGATTATAAATTGTATGTATTTTGATTTCTACTTCGTAGGGTTTACCTTATCGACATTCATGTGAAGGCCCAGACGATATGGTAAATTAGATAACTTTTCTCTAAAAATAAATATTTTTTAAATTTAAACTTGTATTTGTAGCCTGCACATGTAAAAGCATGTTTTCTTGGTTCATCAATAACAGTGCCCATTACAGAGGGCAAATTGAACCTTGGGACATGGCAAGGTATTTGGCTGTGTGAACATCGAAATCAAGCTGGTAGTCGAAAGCTAGTGATTACATTAAATGGATCACCAAATTCATCTGCGGGTGATTGTAACAGGTCACCAATGTCTCCGTCCTCACCAATGGCTTCATTAAGCAGTTAGGCTCATATTATACACATACATTGGATGTTAATTATGGATATCATAATCAACATTTAACTTAGAGACAAATTGTTAGCTGCTGCCTCTAGTCAAATGTATTATAAGCACATTAAATGCAAAAATGTTATTGTAATTTTTAATGATTAGTTTATTAAATATTTTAATCAAGTACATTTTGAAACATAACTACACATTCCACAAAAAACAACAAACTAAATTATGTTATACATATATAATAATAATAATATAGCTATAAGTATAAATTTAATAATTAGTAAAAACACATTAATGACAAAATATTGTTACCTTTTAAAATGTTTAATAATAATTACCATTTAAAACATAAGCCATGCTTACAATAAGAGAAAAGTTAATATAGGACGTTTTAAAATGTTAATACAAATATTAATTCAATCATTTCTTAAATGTATATTTAAATAATTCAACTTTATTTTTTTGTTACTCAGTCATCATAATTTACCTTAATTTTGTATTCATTAATTAATTATTTAATTATTCAAATTGTAAATGGGTCGATGATACTTACACACCTTAAATACAGAGTGATGCTTTGTTAATAATAATTTTTGTACAAAAATTCAATTATATTCTATAAATGTTGTAACATACATTTGATTAACCAAATTAATTTAAACGTCCAGTTTTAGATAAATATTAATTTCTTAATTACAATTTTTAAAAATTGCTTGTTTTAAAAATATATTTGAAAAAAAAAAACAAATAATATTTGTAATTGTATTTTTTTTTTTTTTTAATATTTTATGTAAATTAAAACAATATTTATCACAGAACAGTAATATGGTAACTAACTTAAAAACATAATTGCTTAATATAATAAAGTGTAACAAAGTCGAACATATTGACCATAAAAAATAGTTTATAATACACAAACAGAAAAACTTGATTAAAATTGCCTATTTATGTTTGAGTTTTATTAATAATGTCTAAAAAAAAAAAATTACATTTGAAATTATTGTGCAAATTAATTTTTTAAATATGATAAATATCTATACATTTAATGCAAGCAAATCAATACAATGTAATTAAGTAAAACATGTAAAATTCTGAATAAAAAAACATTGATAACAGTAAACAATACATACATTTTTGGTCAATGGGAAATATATATTATTTTAATTATTTTAAATATATTCAATTTTATATTTTAGTATTAACTGGAATATTAATTATAAATATTTTAATCAATGGTTATAAAAAATGCAAAAGCTCATATAATCCATTTTACTTGTAAAAAGTGTGATAACTAGGTTCCCAGATTAAATACCCTAAAAACTATAAACAATAAACCCCAATAATAACAAACATTTGTTTTATATAAAATAAATCCAATTGATATTTTACACCAATATAAAAACAATAGTTTAAATAATTAATAGTATCATAAAATACTTGTTTTAAATTAAATAGCAAATTAAATTTATGTTCTGAACATTGAATACCCAGGCTTATTATTATAGAATTATGAACAAATTCGGGATCAGTAGAGAGCTATAATTAGTTTGAAAATACTTTTAATGAGTATAAATATTCTGAAAATAATTGCATTGAAATAAATAAATACAATTTCAATAAAAATGAATCCAGAAAAACATAATTCTGATGATACAAAACAAACAATAAAATAAATGTAAACATATATGTATAAACATGAAATACAAATAAAATGGATGTGTCACGGTTGTAGATGAAAAGTTAAGAAAATAGAATACATAGAGTAATTCAATTTATAACTCATTCATTAACAATGAATTATTGTTAATGAAAAATGATTTTGTAAGAAGTTAAAATATATTTTATAATATTGAAATTTATTCAATTTTCAGAGAATATTGAGTTTTTATAGGCATATAAAAAAATTACATTCCAGTCAACTTTTTAGTTTATTTTAACACTGAATGCTATATATATGACAAATCTTGTATTTATGATTTTGTCTACAGTTTTTCCTGGAAACAACTTAAGAACATTATATGGAAAATTATAAAACATTGCCAAATTTCGCTAACAGAAACTATCCCTAAAGTTGAAGATGGAACAAGATTTCTGGTAGTAAAGGTTTACACACAGAAAACAAACAAATATATTCATCGCTAAACGTTAGCATGGAGTATTAAATAGGTTGTGAGTAATTTCAATTTAAAAATTATCAAATTATAGTACAACAATGAAGAAAATAAACTATTTAATTTTTTTTCGCCTATGTTGTACTGATGATAATTTTTTAAATCAAAAATGGTTATAAATATCCACAACTCACATATTCGGCTAAATCTAAGCTATTTTTTTGATTTCATGTATAAATATTTTGTACATTCATTTTATTGTTCTATATTAGGGTATTAACATATAAAACAATTAGTATTTCTTTTTCTACTAAACTTAAAATAAATGAATGGAAAATAAAATATTGAATTACAAATGATTTGAAAAAAATAAGATGATAAAAGCATACAAAACTTTCTTCCAGTAAAATAAGATTTTCAAACAATTAGTAGCATACTGACATTATTTTATCTTTCAGTAAGATAAGATAACCAAAAAATTAGTTATCACTAAATTTATTATCATGGACATTTTTTTTCAATTCTTTGGATTCAAAACTTTTTTAAAGAAAGTTGTCATGATATAGTTAATACTAAATAAAATTATAAGTTTAATAAAATATTAATAGGAACAAAAAAAGTTGATAGTAAGTTGAATTGTATACATATAATAATTTTAATTTAAGCAATGGGATTATTAATAATAATTTAACGAATATCACATAAATTGAATGCCATTAAATTAATTTCATAATTAACAATTATATTTTACAGGTGTATGTAAAATTGTTTATTTATTAACTAATAAAAATAAAGGATAATTTAAGTGTTAAAACTTTAAAAATTTCTTTTTCAAAAATAATTTGCCTAATTAACTTGTGCTGATTTAATACCAATGTCATCAGTACAACTGTTATATATCTATTTTATTAAACTTAATTAAAATAGGCAAACAATTATAATTATTAAATATTATTAAAAATAAATAGTGCTCTTAGCAAAGCTTTTAATTATATTAAAATATTTCATCATGATTGAAAAATAAGCTCGATGCATTAAGACAAGTTTAAAAAAATTATTGTCCTTTTTTATCAATAATTGCAAGATCAATTACTGATTTTGACCTTTTGACTTCACATTCATCCTAAATAATGAAAAATATTTATAAATTTTAAAATAATAATTCATAAATTTTAAATATTCAGAAGTTATTTTGAATATTTGCCTAAAATGATATAAGATAAACACTTGAAATAGAGAAATCTTATAATGGAATATGAATCATCAAATTTAATAATTTTTTACAAAAATATCTTATTAAATAAATTATTATACTCACATTTAAACTCAGAGTTTCACACATCGCTTCAGGCATAGATTGTGTAGAAATTAATTTATTTTTGACTACAATTGAATTGTCTACATTAACTCCAATATACATTAAAATTTCTGTCAATTTTTGCGGATAATCAGAATGACCTATAAATCAATGTTAAATTGAATGAAATTCGAGCTAGTTAAATCAAAAAAAATATAATGCAAATAATTAATTTACATTTAATTTCTGTACAACATTAATTGACATTTACATTTATATCACATAATTTATAAGTAATTAATAAGATTATAATTACTTAGGTCTGAAATTTGGAATATTTGTTTATAATTAAAAAATGGAACTGTTTTTGAATATGCATAGATTAAACTACAAATTAGGGGCACAAGCTAAGTATTTAATATTCATATATATGTTGCTAAGTAGGTTTCAATAATCAGAAATACTCAACATCTACTTTCAATAAAATTTTTTGAAATTTTGAACTACTCCAAAGTTTGATAAAAAAATTATTTTACATAAATGTTTGAATGTTTAGGTTAATGTCTCAAGTATTTGAAAAGTAATAGTATAATTCAAATTTGTTTTAAATTGTATTTTTATTTTATTTTTATTCATCACCAAATCTATTGGTTTATATAAAAATGCTAAAATAAGCTTAAGAAAATGTCCAGTCTATGTTATTACCTGAAACAATATTCGTCAAATCAATATTTTCTATTCGATCACCTTCCGATTTAATAGCTTCAAGACCAGCTACTCCGTGTGCTTGCATAGAAAGTGTTCTATACAGAAACTTAAGTAACCAATCACTTCTAATAATAAATTAAGATTAAATAATAATTAGTTTAGTAATATTATAACTTTATGTGAATATTTTCTTTACCTGCAGTATGCATTTACAATTCTTCCAGCCACAAGCTGTGAAATTTTGTTCCAGTCTGAAGGATTTCTATTACATGGAGTTCCAATTAAAATAGCATCTTGAACAATACCATGACATTTTTCTCTTTGAGACATTTCCTTAAATAGTGAAAAATAATATATATTATTGAACATTTTATTTCATAATTTTAAATACTTACTCGCAAACAATAATAAATAACTCTAGCTCCAAGACTATAACCAATTAATGTTACAGGTCGATTACCATGCGAATGTGAGAGTAGAGCATTAGCTAATTCTTTTCCAACTTGGGCTGATCGTCGACAACACACTCCCCATGGATTATCAATCACAGAAGATAAACCTAAAATTCCAGCTGGCCATGCGATAGCTGCCATTAAACCAGAAAGAGCAGTATATTTGAGAGACTCTTGTAATGCAACAGAGACAGCAAAACTAAGAAAGTAGTCCATAGCTTTCCCAAGTTCCAACAAATAAGATGATTCATAACGTAGATAATACTGTTCAGGACTGTCCTGAAAATCAATTAATTTGTTGTTTTTTTTAAATTTATTAGTGGAATAAATTACTAAATAGCAAATACAAAACATTTAAGTTTAAAATAGGGAACTTATTGAAATTTAATAATGCTATATATTGTTATATGATGATTGTGAATAGTTTAAAGAGAAAGATATTTGATAAATGTAATTGTCTTTGTATTTTCAGTGGAGGCAAAAATAATCTATACTAATGTACTTAGTGTTCTAAATTAGTATAAATATTTTATTTTTATACTCTAAGATATTGCCAGGGTTGGATATAGCTGCTTTCTTTTTCATCGCTTAGCCATCCAGATATTACAACAGTAATATGTAAGTGAACATCTCCAGTTTGAGTTCCAGTAGGCAATTTATTAAATTCAAATTCTTCTATATCACCAACTCTCCTTTGCATTTTATACCCTATAAAAATTAAGAATTAAAATATTTTATATTACAATCATCATAGTATAGTTCAATAGATTATTACCAGTTAAACTTGCCCCAGCAACACCAAAAAGCGAACCAATTATCGCTGAACCTCCTATTGTTCCAATTGCGCCAAAAATGGCAGATGAACCTATAATACTGGTTAGTCCCGTGCCAATAAGAGGAGCAGCCAATCCACCAGTTAAACCCATAAGGATTCCACCACCAACTGAAGCTAAACCAATCATTGCGAAACGTTTAGTTCTAGAAACACGGGTACGTCGAGCAGCATCAGCTTGTTCTTCTCTTGAATTAAATAATAGTCATTTGTAGACTAAAATTACTAATATTTAATGATTAAAAGAAATTGATTAAAATGCTCACTCTGTTGGTTTTGGCTTAAAATTTGATAAACAATTTACAACATTTAACTCAAAATTATCTACTATATTTAAATCAAGATCAAAAACACGAGTAACATATAATATTAGAACTCTCCAACGGGCATCGTAGGTACCTAAAGAAAATATAATAATTTAAAATGATTTTTCCTTAATAAAATAAAATTATAATGTGATAATGTAATTATTATAATGTGACATAAAAATTTACATACTAAATAATAAAAAAGATAAATAATTAAATGAGTTTTACTTTAAAAATATTTAAATGTAAATTACTGAAACATATTTTCACTTGTATTGATAATTAATTTTATAAATCATACATGATAACTAAGCACAAAGGTAAAATATAGAATTTTATTGTTGGATTGGTTTTACTATGTTTTGTCTATAAATAATTTATCTGACAAAAATTTTGATCCAATCAAAAACCTTTGTATAATTTTTAATCTAGTCTGTGCTTTGGGAGGTCTTTTTTTTAAATACAAATATTCTAATATTAAACAATTGAATTTGGAAAGATTTCAAATACCTAGAATTCAATATAATTTTAAATTCATAAAAATATGAAATTTTAAAATGTTCGAGGTTTTATAAATAGATAATTAAATTATTGAACAAATTTCAATTTATATTTTATATGTAGGTACTATTAACATAGTTACACAAATTCATTGAATATCATTCAAATAATAAAAATTCAAAATATGTGGTTGATGTAATAAGTCATTGTAAGTGGATATTAGAGTTGTTAGTGATTCACTCCAAACAGCAAAGAGAAAACAAAAGAATAATTAACATAAATTTCTCGAAAATATAATTTTTAAATTATGATACAGTTACTAAGTTTTACAAATGTTATATTTATTTTCATTATTTTTTTGGAAAACTATTATAAATATCTAAAAAGTATGAACCCTATTTAAATACTTATTGATAACTGATAAGTGATAATATGCTACAAAACTTATAACATATTTTTTTACTTCTCTACAAAAAAAAAAAAGGCATAATTTTAAAAATAACAATTTTTAGTGAAATAAATGCTACCTATATTAGATAATTTATTATTAATTAATACTTACCCACTTTAAATCCTTTTGTTTGCATATCAATATATTATATTTTATTGCTATGATGATTGTGATTTAATTTAAAAAGGTAAAGGTGCAAAAGAAAATAATTTTTACCATTGGAAATGGCCAGCAATAGAAGATCTTGTACAATAATCATCATGCCTTCATTAAGAACTTCTTCTTTTTTGAGAGTTTTAACACATACTTTAACATCCAAAGGTGATTCACAATTAGCCATTTCTTCCAAAGTGGGCAACTGTAATATTAGTTTTAAATGATTACACAAGGAACGTAAACAATCCAACTTGAAATCTCGATGTATAGGATCTTTATAAAGGCAATTTAATGAAGTTGCACATAAGGCACAATATGAAAACCGTCCAGTTGATGTTAGACATTCTGCAAGATTTTTGGTGGTTAAGGAATCTGTAATATGAAAAATAGATATATTATAAATTCTAACTCATAATTGCCATATCTTAACATATACTTAGAAATTTGTCAAGTATCCATATGGAAATGGTGGGGTACTTTTTGGTTATCGTGACTATCAATGATTTTCCAGTATTGCAATTCAGTTATCGCAACTACCAAAAATAGTTAAAATATAGTATAACAAATCAATTACAAACACGGATGTTAACCTTTTTTGGCAGGATTTAATGTTACATTTCCAAAAAAATTGTTTTCCAAAATAAAATTTTGCTTCGTGACCAAATCCATACACTCATTTTTTCGGTAAAACACCCTTTTCTTGAAAGAACGGCATCTTTCTCGTTTGATGTCGAATTCCAGATTTGCATTTTTATAAAAATAGCATACATTAAAATATAATAATCAATACAAATAAAATAACAGTGTAAATGCAGGCTTTTTTATGACACTAGTAATCACTACACTAACACATTTGGCAGAGAGCTAATGAAGTGAATTGTGATAATGATATATTTTATATTGAATATATATTATTATGCGAATCTTTCGGAAAAACCTAAAGAATAACGTAGCATACACATACGAAGTCAAGATAACTAAATTTATTTTTATATTATTATATTTTAACTATTCTTGGTAGGTACCAGAAAATCGCGATAACCAAAGAGTACCAAATGAGGTTTAAAACGTATCAATATTAAATGTTACGTACCACATATGGTACTCAATTGTTTAAAATTTTAACTTTCAACTATACAGATTATTAATAGATCAGTACATAATTTATAATCTTATTTAAATTCATAAATCAATTAATTTTTAAATTACATAGTTAATTAACAGGAAAATGTTCCTACACTAATCTACATTACTATTTATACCAATTGACCATATGTATGACAAATAAAACTAATTTTAAGTCTGACACTTTTTTAAAAATGCACATGCCTGTAAACCAAGAGGATGATAATAATTCGTTCCATTTGTAAACGTTTATTACAAAATATATAGTTTATTCGTTATAAAAAAAAATTGAATTACCTTTAATATGTTGCGAAGCTATATCATGGGGGTCCATTGTAATGCAATAGTCAAGAGATTGTGACAAATAAACATAATAATAATACAAAGTTTTATACAATTACGTCATATATATATATATATATATATTATACTACGTCGTTTTATAACTGGTTACAGTGCGAACTATGCTGGTTAAACTTAAAAAAGGGTATAAAAAATATATAAAATTTATGAAGGAAAACAAAATAATTTTCTCTATAGGCAACTATAGTTATCAGTGATTACAGAGTGATAGGATAAAAGAAAACTTCCGTCGCCGGACAGCTGTAAGATGAGTGACTGATAAGACATGCGTAACGAGTGGCCAGTGGGAGGCACGAATTATTAATTCGCGGTGGGAGGTGACGAGGTTACTATAGCAGATTGTTCAAAATTGTTCGGCACGATATCAGAATTTCTGATACGATATCTTAAAGTTAAACCGTGCCCTTTAAACATTCTGTAAATATTTAGATATGCGGTTAATCTACCGTAATACTAGATAGTAGTTATATATTTTAAGACCGTGCTGTAACAGGCGCAAGCCATTTAAACTATGCGGGGGAATATTATTAGTTACCAAAATACACACCAGACTTTAGAAAAAAAAAATGAAATCACTTTGCTCTCATACATTCATTATAATTCTGATTCGTTTCCTCGAAAATCATAAACGACGAATACCTACATGAATGTATTGCGGCGATGTATTAACATTGTACATTTATATTACATTGTTATTCACAATGTAATATAAATATGTGGACAGGCACTTATGTAAATTGATACAAAATCCGCATAATAATACCGTTTTTAAAATGTATACCAAAAATAAAATCACCACATTTTAGGGTTCGGTAATTTTGAATAGTCTATAACACGACCGAGATGGGGGCCCATCTACCGCCACTCTGGATTTGAATTTTACAAGACTATAATTTATTATCAAGTCTGAAAATGACCGCCGATCAAAGTCACCTACCCGCCCCCTTATCAAATTGCAAATGGCTGCGGAGCAAGTACCCCCGTGTCCCCGTAGGTTTGCGCCTTAAACACATATGGACGCTTCATAGAGCTGTTTTTTGAACACGAATAAAATTAGAACTTTACTTGTGGACATTTTACAAAAATCTCTTGTACGCAACCTGAGGGTACTCGCTGTTGGTATAGATTAAATCTATTTTTAAAGGAAAACATAGAACGTGAAAACGGAACCAAGATATATATTAACTACGAAAATGAACGTACAAATCAAACAGAATGATATTTATTACGATTCGCGGATCATTAGGTACCTACATTTATTTCATGTCTGTGAGATGCAACTAGAGAATTATAGAATAAGTTTATTATTGGTAAAATTATGACTCAATAGATTTTTTATTTTAGCTGTTGACTGTTTTATATTAGGTGTTGAGATTTATTAAATCGAACTTGTCCATATTATACACCTAAAATTCGCTGATAGCAAATGTATTTTCATATATATTGATAACAAATGGGAACGCATCAGTCGCACAATTTGGCCCCCAAGACACTCGTGATACTGGTGTCTGTATCCGTGATGATACTCACCATAGCCCAAGGATAATAGTTACAAAAAATAATTACAAACAATAAATCAAAAAGATCCTTTTAACAATGAGAATGCGTTTTATAGTAAAACTACTGCAACTATAGATATTCTACAAACAAAAAAGATATTACGAATAAAAAAAGAAAAAATATCAAAATTAGTTTTAAGATACAATAACTAAAATCATTAACACCATTCAATATCACACATACTTAACAATATTAATTTATTATTATTACATAAAATATTAGAATGAAAAAATGATTTTGATTGCGTTCTGTGTTTTTTTTTTTCGATAAAAATTATAAAACTCCCACGAGAACGCATAGAAAATCAACTGTCCGTTGCGCATTCTAGTGAGCAATGGTGCGACATTTTGGGAATATCAAATAGAGATAAACGGGATTTTTTTCCCTTCTTCTACTCTTCATGGATGACAATTATATTATATATAAAGTATAAACACTAAATTGCAGAATAATAATGACAATGATATAATATAATATTTAATACCTATATTATATTATTTATAGAGATAGCGCGTGCATCAAACGCCCGTCGTTTTTGTGTGATAGCTCCGTGCATAGTGTAATAGTATATCATCTCATGATTAGTCTACGAATTGACGCAGATAAACCTAGGGCTTGAAAATAATATGCTCTATAGGTAAAAACCTGTGCGTTAAAAGTTTTAAATAATAATCGTGTTCTTAGCAACAGTTATTGTATCGACGGCATCGAGATAGATAAACATCTCGATGATCGACGGATAACGTTTGTCCTCCACACATGGTTATAAACACGGTGTATCTATCACAGTTTAAGATCTTGGTTAGTCTGTGGTAGACAGTGTCCTAAATCGTGGTATCTATAATCGTGGTTATAACCCTACTGTCTTCCACAAATGATCGGATAAAAGAAAAAAAATGAAATCAGGTTCATCAACCTAACCTTTAAATCCCATAAACCCATATTATAATGTATGTATTTCTCTTTTTTCTTGTCAGTTTTTGAAGAGGAAATAAATAAAAAATTATTCGTGTGTAAGACACAGGTTAAATTAAAATTTTTGTAGGCAATGGAAAAAAATGTCGAAGTATTGAAAAACGACTTATAAATAATATTATTCGTGTATATTGTATGATTCGCGATCGTATTTTCATTTGCCGATGACATTTTAGAAACTTTCAATACTTTTAGATCTTCCATTAATGAAGGTTATACTCGTACATGAGATAAGTAGCTCTATAATCAACAGCATAAGACTAAGTTTTTTCCTTATCAATTTCCGGAGAACGGTCCGGAGCCGTCTACAACAACTTTATCACAAGCACTGATTACATGGGACAGATACAGTGCTGCCAACGCTAGGGAGATACGCGCGTGCCGAGTATTTCGACTCCGGGTTCCGTGGCTAGCATGTGTTGGTTTTGCGGCCATCGCGTCTTCCTTTCTTTTTCAGTATTTCTCTCTTTCCCATTCCGCGGTCCGTCGGCGCTAACGCTACGGTCGCGTTTTAGTCTACCAGTCTCGTTGCTGTCGTCGTTGCACAGCAGCGTATTGTTCGCGCATTGCAACCGTTCTTATTATTATTATTATTTTTTTTTTTCTCTGTTCATTATCAAGTGTCCGTGTTCTTTGTGTCCGCCGCCGCCGCCCATGCAGTGTCACTCCTCCGCCATGGCGTCGGATTCGCGTCTGTGATATTCGCCGTCACCGGATTTTGTGTGCGCGCCGCCGTCGACCTCCGTTCCTCGTTCACTCCCGTAAAATAATCGTATCACCCACCCAGTATATTATATGTCAATATAAATACACACATACATACATAAATACAAAATACCTACACACACTCACACACATACATACACACACACCTACACCGCATATTATAATAGCGTGATTCTTCGCTTAAAACACAAGTGTAGAACAGGCATATTTTAAATATCCGACGAGACGCAATGGAAGGTAGCAGCAGTAGTAACAACAGCGACGCCGGCGAGCCGAAATCCGGGTGCGGTTGCAGCGGTGCCGCGGTTAACAATAACAACGACGCTACGGCCGCCGCAGCCACAGCCGCGGCCGCAGTTGCGGCGGCAGCGGCGAAGAGAGCAGCGGGTGAAGCCAACATAATCGCCAGGGCGATAGCGGCCGAGAAGCGGCTGTACCAGGAAAGTATGAAAGTAAAACACGAAGACCAGCAGCAGCAACAACAACCGACGGACGACCACCAAACGACCGCGGCTGCCGTTAGCGGTAGCTCATCATCGTCCCTGGCCGGCGGAAGTTCGGCCGCCAACATCAATCTCGGTCCCGGGGCGGCCGCGGCGTTCGCCGCTTTCGAAGCGTCCGAAATTACCATCACCGTGTCGCCGACCACCGGAGGCCAGTTCGACCTTTCCGTGTTCAAGACCGATTCGGTAGAAAGTCTCAAAAAAGTGATCTCCAAACGACTTAGAGTGCCCAAAGAACGGATATGCCTATTGTACCGCGAAAAGTAAGCAGCCCGTTTCTATTTTTAACATTTTTTTTTTTTTTTAAATCCAAAAATCTGTCGATCTCCGCCGTCAATCTACCCCTCCCCCTCTTCGCACGCGCACGAGTCTGCGTCAACCCACATACGGCGTTAGGGCACCCCGAGCTCCGTGTAGCCTCCGCGTCGGCAATGCAGGTAGGTTACAATACGTAAACTCGCACGTTAAACGGGAAGCGCGTACGAACTTGGACGAGGCCGTACCGGCTTATATAACAGACTTTATACGCGTTGGGGGGAGTGGCTTCTGAGCGGCAAATGCTCCCCGACGTACTCTATACTTCTATAGGTACGTCGCCGAAAGGTTAGGTTGCGCCGGTACGCTCCAAAGTGCGTATTCCAGCTCGGTGAAACTTTGAGACCGGCACTTCCGTCCGATTACGATGCGATTTGGCCCCGGGGGGTCACGGCCCTGCCGCCGCCGTAATGTGGCCGGTATTCGCGTTACGCCCGTTACGACCCTCTTGCTTGTGCTGCAACAGCTGCTCCGGCGAGATAAAAATGTTGTTTGTTCCCCGAATTCGGAACGCGGGGCGACGTTCAGGTATTATATTGTTACCTACCTATAGTGCCGTGTCGGGACCGTGCGACGTTGCCGGTTCGCCGCCGTCGCACGCGTTCGTTGCGCGAATGGCGAAAAAACGTACGGAAAATCGAATTACACATATTGTGTACTAATTTGTACCTATCCGTTTTGTTTCTCGTTTCGAGACGCGCTATTGTCGTGTCCTTTTCACGTCGTCTAGTGGGTACCCCTCTCTTTTTTTTTTCTTCTTTTTCGGTTTCATTAATTTGCCACAGCTTTTACCGTCCTCTTACCCCGGTACGTACGGCGTTGACATTGAAACAAAGCGCCCGGACGAAACGATGTCAACAGGATATTCGGATATATATTGTGTGGCGTGTAACATATTATTGTTCGCAGATTTCTTTTTTTTTTTTTTTTATCACTCGTTCGCCATGGGCGTCCGCCGGCCTTAGTTCAATAATATAATATTGGGCTTGTTCGAGTTCGTTCGTCGATTTTTTTTTTCTCTCTTTTTTACCATTTTAGATTTTTAGGACACCATCGATTGTCGCCGGGCGTCTGCTTCGCGACGATAGCGTTTTACGCGCGTTTCCCGGAAGTCGTCCGGTACCTGTCTGTCTACCTACCTACCTACCTACCTACCTACCAGTGTGTAGTTTAGCGCAATTCGAAATCGACGATGACCAACAATAATACTTAAGCGACCATCGCGGTACCCGCGGTCGGATTTTAATACGCTTTCGACACGTCCGGACGACAAAGTCTATCCGAAAAAAAAAAAGAAAAAAAGAAATATAACTACTTACATCGCCGTGTACCACTATAATAGAACGTTCTTTGTTGGGTATAATATATTAGGCAGGACCGTTTTAAAACGATTATTCGTTCTTTACCCCCCTTCTTTTCAGAACCCCTCGTAGATAATAACCCAAATAAAAAGGTTACCTACCTACGCGCGTGTGTGTGTATACCTAATACTCTTTCTTGGAAAAATATCATGCGGTTACGCAAGCAATAGACCGGCAGCGGCGGCGACGGCGTCAGCTGTTGGGATCCCGATCCCACGCTCCGGAGAGACGACGTCGCCGCGGCCGCTCCCCCAGCGGCGGCCGACGCCGCAGCCGCCGCCGCCATTATTACATTTTAGGGGTGAATAACCCGAACGGCCGCCGCTCGACGGGTCCCTTTTTAGACAAGTGTAGAACAGCCGGCTGCGGGGCTTCCCTTTTTCCATTGTGCACGCCGCCGCCGCCGGAGAGACGCAACCATCGTTCGTTTTTTCGGGCGATGCCCTACGGATCCTCCGGACACCTGGCCGCGCGCTATGCGTGCGTGCGCGCGCGTGATGTTTTCGCGAAACGTCTCGAAGTGGAGCGCGTGAAAAACCGCCGCTTTCTCCGCGTTCTGGAAAACTAGGGGTTACCAAAATATTTAAAAAAAACGCGACCGTCGCCGCCGATCTATTGTTTCCCCCGGTCGTCCGCCGGCCCGCCCGTCGACACGGCTAACCCGTGCGCGTGCATGCAATATTCTCCTTTCTTGGGTTTTTTTTTTTTTCTCTGTGTTTGGTCGGGACGGCGTGTGGAAAAAAAATAACATAAAACCTCCGGTTACAACAACGTTGTTTCACCGCGCGCGCGTTACGACAATCGCGCCGTGGATGCAAAACACTGTGCGTAATTTGACGCATTTATGTAACGCACCTGTAATTATTATTATTGCGTTAAACCTTGAAAAAACGCATTGTTGCCCGCAATCGGTACGATATTTATTGTTATTATTTCCACGGTATGAAAATTATTATAATTTTGTCGAGTTTTCCCGGCGACCATTACAATATCATACGTACGCGTATACGCATAGTAGGCATCATTGATTTTAGATTATTACCTTATACCTACCCACATAATACCCGTATTATTATTCTATTAAAACCATTGGCAGGTAAGTGCCTCGACCGTATTAATTTATCATCGTATTATGCGTGAAATATGTATAATAATTGTCGTGTAAAACGAGATTTTTCGCTCGTACGTGTTATAGTAGTGGAAGCGAACGTTTATATTGATTTACGGACTTTGTTTTTTTTTTTTTTTACATTTTTTTTTCTACTCCTGTCCCGCAGGCAACTGAGAGATGGCTCATTGGACGACAACCAGTTGATGCAAGGAAGCCGCCTCACCCTATTGCCCAGCGTGGAAACCGGTCTTCTGGTGAGTAGATCTTCGTTTTCGTGTTTCTTTTATCCCGCAGCGCGCGTATAGACTCCCACCCTTTCTCCCCCCCCCGTCACCGTCGTGTCGCCGCGACGACAAACCAGTTTTAAACACGAAATAAGCGTACGCGCGAGTATTGTGTGTGTGTGTGTGTGTGTGTGTCCTTATTGCCACACATCTCGACGATCACGATACATTACATTATAGGAACGTTGTTATATTATTATTATTATTATTATTATGGAACGGCCAATGCGTATTATGCGCGCGCAAGGACATAAATATTATTATCATCGTCCCGGCCCGATAATAATATTATATTTTAGAACGCCTGTTATGCGGGAGAGGGAAATCGAGTAGGCCTTGTTCTCCATTATCGGCTCCTCTTTTTTCCCTGTCCAACGATCGTCCAGCGCATATTATTATTATATTGCAGAATAGTAATATACTGTAGACCCGACCGTAAAAAAAGTGCCGTTGATAACGCCGTTATCGGTAAAAAATTTACGGCCGGGGAATTATTGCGTTTGGAATCCACAGAAAAAAAAAAAATCGAAAACGATAGACGATTTTTAAAGTGTCCCCCGACTCCATAACGACTCCCTCCGACTTATTTTGTAAAAAGTTGTACGTAGGTAGTATATATTAAAAAAAAAAAGAAAAGAATTTCCCCGTGCGTATCGTATCGTTTGCGCAGTATTCGACAATTATTATTGTATTTTTTTAACGCGTTTAGAGGGGAGTTTAAACCGTTTTTGCCTTTTTTAATATCGCTTTTTTTTTGTCTATTTCAAGTGCAACAAGACCCCGAGTCCTAATAACCATGATCAATCGAAATATTATCAGATACCGATTATAATAATAGTAACAGACGGCATCAGACTATAACCCTATGGGAATATACACTGCAAATACCCGGCTTTGTCGGTTTAGTAGTATTTTTTATTATTGTTATGTTTTTTTTTTCATATAGAACGCGTCTAAAATAACCTTGTTGTGATTGTATTATTTAAGTTTTGACTTGTTCCGTTGTTATGGGCACCGCGTTAGAGGTTACGTTTGTATATTACCGTCGCCACGGTATTATTGTTACTTTAAATTTTTAATTTATAGATACGCGCATAGTCCACGCCACGCATAATACGGGGAGGGCGACCGTAATCGGGGAAATAATAGCGAAAAAAAAAAAAAAAACGGCGTGCACTATCGGGGGAACGGCGTTTCGACAGAACAACAATATTATTGCGGGTAATCGCGTGGGAACTGTGTTTCGGGATAGTGTGTTGCTGGGCTGGGAAAGCGTAAGTTACGGAAAATATTAGAAAATAAATTAGCCGATGGCCGGGCCGTTGCAGGTAAAGTTGTGGTCGGGCCGGTCTGAAACACGGTTTAACTTAATTCGCCGTGCGCGACGAAAACCGATTCTGAGCCGAATTCGTTAAACGTGTTTCGAAAGCGCCGCGATTCACACGGTTTTCGTCGAAATTCCAACGGTCGTAAAGAAAACGATTACATCACGGGGTCAGGTTTTATTTTTTTTTATGTTTCGACCACCGAGTGTATACTTTTGACGCTCGTTATATTACATTTTCGAGCATTTTTGCCCGGCCGAAATAATTATTTTTTCCAATAATAAAAACTAAAACGCTTCGACAATTCCAACTGATTATAAATAGCTATAAACGCCAGAATGTTTTACCGCGTCTAGTAATGGCCGATACAAGTAGTTGGTGGGAATGTCTGCGATTATTTTTAACTGAATTACAACAATAAAACGAAAAAAATTAATAAACGAAATCGAAAATAACCGTTATCACTTTAATTTTCCGTTTTTTCCTGATCACAGATTTATTCCGTAAGAGGCCGTCACGGTAGTTTTTGCCGTTTCTGTTTTTCTAAAATCTAACCGAATTGGTTACAAAAAACAAACAAAATCGAATATAACGAAACCGGTTATTGCAATTTTCATTCCATTACATTCCCGGTTTTGCTAAGTTTTTCCAATTTATAAAAAATGAAAAACCGATCTCTCCTTATGCAGCGTCAAGACCCAAAATGTCACAGAAAAAAGTGTCCAAATATATTAATAAAAAAATTGGTTACTATTTTTTTTTCCCTTTTAAAATAATGAGTTAAATATTAAGAGAATTTTAAAACGCCAACGATGTTGTTTACACAATGCTGTCATCAAAAAAAATGGTTTTTAATTGGTTTTTTTATTTTTTTATTTTTCATCAATGAGTAGGGCCATAATACGATACTTTCTTTGTAATCGTATTTCAATGTAACCATGAAACGATCAATAAATTGTTATTATTATTATTATTATCGTCTCCGAAACCTCTTTTAAAGGTATTCCTTTGGTTTTCACGAACACAGTTTTCCTACGTGACACGTTCGAAAGACAAACACGACACTAAACGCTACTGTATTTGCCTCGAGAACGAGGTTATTCCTAAACGATATACAATCCTTAAAAGAAAAAGAAATATCGTTTTTCGGCGACATTTAATTCCAAAGAAGTATTTAACAAAAAAAAAAAAAACAGTCTTTTCGAATAATTTCTCGATTCGTATACTATGATAACCGTCCTGAACCTGTCGGCATAAGATATTTTTTTTTTCGGTAAAAAATAATTAATACTTAAATAATGTATTTTGAAAATGTTTTCGATTCCGACGTCTGGCTATTAGTTGTAAAATATTAGGCGATATTATAGTATCCCGTTTACGAAAAACGAATAAAAAATGCGTATTTTAAGATTGGTATGAATATTATTTAGAACATTATAGATTGTATCTTAAAACATTATGGAACTATCTCGTTTATTTTGAGGTTTATGTATTTTTTTATTTATTTATTAGTATGGATAATGTATTAGAGTATTGATGTTCCCGGTACTTTTATATTTTTTTCTCATTTTTTTTTTTTTATGTTTTATTGTATACGATACAGTAAATGTCGCGCGTGGTAATTTTTTTTTTTTGTTTATTTCATAGAAATCGTTAATCATACTAATAAAAATATCAACATTATTCAAACCGACAGCTTGCATGAACTGTGTACGAGATAGTAATATTTCAGAGACAATCTAAATCGTGTTCTTTAAACTTTTTTTTTCTCTTGTTTTTCTGCGCAGAGCGCTACGCGCAATATTTTAAATTGTGATACTTGTAGAATATTACGCGATATGAAGTAAATTATATTTTATTAATATTCTTATCATTATTATAGTTGTTATTACTAACAAAATATATGTGCAATATTAATTAATCGCCATCAGTTAATTAAGTCAAATATAGAAGTTTCTTTCGGTTGTATTTACAGTGGATTCCAGGGTTGTTTTTTTTTAGATTCTGAGTAGAGCGAGGGATGTATTGGTTTTACAATGATGTTTATTACTTTTTTTAAATTTACTTTATGTAAACACCTACCAGACAGCTTATTCCGATTATGAAGTATTGCAAATTTCCTGAAAGGAAATTTTCTCTGGGTGGTTCATTACAGAGGTCATTTTTTGAAATTCTCATTAATATTCTGGATAATAAAATCGGCTTCTTTAAGTTGAAAAAGATTAAAAGATTAAAAATAGGTTGTCATTGGTAACCGTTTTTATTTATTGTTTTAATCTTTGTTAACAATCATTGTTGTCATGGAAACGCACATTATTGTAATCATTATACCATAACAATGTGACGTATATATTGTTAACAAAACAACATTATCAACTGAAATACGCGCAGAATCGTTTTTTCGTTAGCAATGGTTTATCGTTGTTTGCAGATAGTAATATACATTAAATTCCCGTCTGTATTCCCTACCTTCCCAATTTCCCACATACAACAGTGGTTGCACTCATTTGCGAAGTATGTCCGTCCTTTTTTTTTATAATATTCACAGGAAAGAGATAAAGATTAAATATTTATATTTTGATTAATTTTTTATGCTTTGGTAAAAAACTTAAAAAGTACTTTTTATTTTATGGTTTTAAAAAAAATTAAAGATAACCATTTCATAGAGTTTATTCTTCTGAAAATACTTTTTATTCTCATTATATTTATAATTTGTGATTTATGATTTTTGTTCATAGTTCAAAAGTTCAGAGAAAAAATTGTACAGTTAATTAACCCTAATAAAAATAATCAATTAGCGAATGAGATTACGGACTGCTGTAATATATACTTTTCCGTGAACTAAAAAAAATTATTAAAAATTACGAATTTAATGAAAATATAAAGTTTTTTACCAAAACATAAAATTGTAATTAAAATATAAACATTTGTAGTCCTTATTTCTGCGAGTAATATCGAGAAAAAAAAACTGAATTTAATTATTTTTACTATCTCAAGAGATATTACAATGGGTATATCTTCGTGGGACATCCTGTTTAATATATAATTTATAGAGTTGTGAATTTATGCGTTAAAAAACTATTAAATATACAAAAACCTGCGCTTATTTTTCGAAAATATGCAAAAATATGTATTAAACATAACTTTTTGTGTCAAATATATATTATAAACATAATATTTAATCGTAATTGCAGTTTTAATTGTAAATGATTTAATATTTTAAATTTTTATTCCATTTGGTATCTAATGTATGATAGGCACGAATGGTGATACTGTTATACTCAGACGTGGGCAATGTTCAGCAATATCAGATAACAACACTAGTTAAATACCCGATTAAAAATAGAATAGTTTCCTCGAAACAATAAAAGTTATATTTTACAAAAAATATAACAATAAAAAATATATATATTTTAAACAAAAACATTTAATGTCAATTTAGATCAGATTGACCGGAAAAATATAATCATTAAGTAAAAAAACATTAATACGCAGAAATCGTGAAAACATGCATTCATACGCCCAATACATTAGAGATTTCGTATTTCAGTTGCACAAAACAAAATTTCAAACGAATCAATTTTCTTATTACGATGTATCAACAAAAAGAAATACGCATATCCATTAAATTCACAACCTTATATTAATTAACGCTATGTTTTAATTTTAAATTATTTGTGTCCTTCAGTTATAAATCGTGTGAATCATAGCAAAATATCCCCGGGAATAATTCGTTTTTCCCGAATACGAAACCATGAAAATAATTTCCTAATAAGAAAATCTCCGACACTAGAAAGCCTATTTATACTGAGATAGTGATATCAGAATATTATATTTCTTAGTGAATTTCTTGTGAGTGGCCACTTCTTCCTCATTTAAAAAATGTTCATGAGCACATAGACCAAACCTTCCACATGCATTTTAAATGATAGTATTTCCTTTGTATAAAAAAATATATACCTTTAATATTTTGTTACAAAATCAACTAAATATCTATTCAATCAATAACCATTTTCTAGTTGATTGGCCTTACAGCAAGCAAAATCTCCCCTTATCGTTGGGTGTCCAACTGACTTTTTACTGTGTGACTCCATTTGGACACATTCACCTCCATAAGAAATTCGCTGACTTGAACTCGGTATTGATTGAACATCCGTCTTGTATTCACGGACAAACTTATTATGCCAGTATACATTACAATATAACTAATGTATTATCTAAAGAATATTGTACAATTGCGACGAAATTAATTTTGTTGCGAGACTTTGAATCTTAACGTTAATAGTTATACCATACAATTATTATATTGTTTTTATATTGTATTATTATGTTATATATTATAACGATGTTTTAAACTAATATATTTTAATATGTTTAGGCTTTCTATCGCCACCTGACACTGTAGTAAAACTTCGGTAGAAATACAATATCAACTTGGTATAATAAAGATAATAATTCCGTGACGATAAAACGTATTAAATATAAGCAGCAGATATCTGAGTTCTCTATTCACTTTTGTTATAATATAGGTACTAAACTAATACGTTAGATTAGTGACCCCCACGCGTCATACTTCTTATCGGTGTTTATCAAGGACGATAATCGGACCATTTGGATCAAAACAATCGAATGGTCCCATTAAAATCGCACGTAAAATCTTTTAAAACGTTTATATTGTTCTCAAATGTGAATACTAACGAACTAAAATGTTATTATTTCAAATGAGACTGTTTTTAGCAATAAAACAATTATCCGATTTGTCAAAATGTAAAACTTGTGAATTTTCAAGTAACGTTAATTTTAAATCCCATTTGCACGTACATTTGTCTTTGTTCTGGATCCAATTTTATGTATTTCAGAAGAATTGCTATCACATAATAGAATGACGTTACACACTAATCGCGAATATTTTTATTTTATACAGTTACCGTTTCAAGCAGTTTTAGTGTTGATATAATATTTGTAGTATATTATATAAACTTGACCAATTTTGCTAAATGGACTGTTTTTAATAGAAAAAAAAAAAAAAAAATCGTACATCAAAGTAGGCTTGATATCGACAGTTGATTTGAACGGTAAAAAAATAATGATAAAATTATGGGTTGGGGATATTTTTCCCGTGTTTCGTCCTCGGGGGAGGGGGGATTTTCATTCCGAACACCATCCGTATAATATAAGTACCTCTGTGTATTTTTTTTCTGTTCGTGTTTATTGATAAAATAACTGTGAATATAACTGTGACGGAATTTGTTAGTCACGTGTATACATATACATGATATAGTAGTTACTAACGTAAGACGTACGCATTTATTTTTTCTGTTTAGGAGGTAGGGTACGCACCTAAATTATTATCATTATATTGTTTTAGTATTGAAATTGCGTTATTGGTTAGATAGTTATTTTCGTTTTCGAATCGATAATATTATTATTATTATTAGAAGTACCTACAACGGCTTTTCGTTATAAATTATATAGTTGACCCGCGGCGTGAAAAATTCCCATTCAAACATCGATTTTTAACCTTTGATTTTTAAACAAATAATGGACCGCGCGCATTTCTGAATCGTCGGTAGAGGGGAGGAACGTAATCTGTAAAATGGTACCTCGTTTATCGATTTTGGTCGAGTACAAAAGCTAGAGAAACCAATCGTCCTCACAAAAACTCGCCTTTTACAAACATAACAATATAAGATATTCAGCCCCGTTCTCACCAACGTAAACGTCGATTTTTAAACCGGGTCCGTATGATAATCAACCAATCGTGATCGGTTATCAGACATAAACTCGGTTTAAGATACAGATAAACGCCCTTTTTTTTTTTTTTTACATCGGTGAGAGCGGGCCTTAATATCTTATAATAGTTTTTCGTTATGGGTTTAACGGTCGTAATACATTAATATCCAAACGTTTGCGTCGGTTATTCTTCGTTTGATTCGGGAATATTATTTGTTTTTACTCGATACGTATGTTTTGTTCGAAAATTGAATTTTCGTGTTGAATATTACCTCCGGCCACGTGATATAAAGCACCCACATAATAATATAAGTACGTTTACATTTCTGCGGTTTTTACATTACAGGCGTTTTACATTTTTCCTAAGTTAATACGAAACGCAATATTATTACCTTATCGTGTACTAAATTACACGTTATGTTGTTCAATTGCTTAAATTGAAATTATTTAATCGGCGACAATAATAATGTATAGTATGTAATATATACAATTGTCAGTTGTCGGCCAGCCCGATATTTTATTACTATAGTGGAATCGATTAATTTTTGTCAATTATATAGAATCTGTAACCGTAATGTTAACGTTTCGGTTAGGTTCTCCCGGGCTATACAGGGTTGCCAACTTTTTGTTCTTAAATTAACGTATGTACACAAATGTCACTCGATTTGTTTTTTCCTGAGGACGTTCCGGTTTTTCAATAAAAGTTCTATGTTTTGTTTTCGCTAAGTTTTTATTTGTTCTAAAAATGTTGTTAAACGCGAGCATTAAAAAAAAAAACCAACGAATCGAAGCCTACGATGATAGTCGATAATTAATAACAAGAGTGTTTCAGACACTCGACGAATCATATCTTACATGTTATTTATCGTATTAATATGATAGTTGTTAAAATCGAATTTAAAAAAAAAAAAAAACGTATTTTAACGCATACTATCTAAATACTTTTGAACGTTATCTACTATACATTGTCGTTATTACCCGTGTTGCGTATACGATAATTAGACACGATAACGACTAATAATCGTAGAATTGCCGTATTTCTCCAAAAACGAATCTCTCGTATTTCAACTAAAACGAACACGGTTTATGCGCACACAGTGTATTCGTGTCTATAACGTAAATACATTTTAACGGCCACTATGGCGTGTGTGTATGTGTGTACGCGCGCGTTAAATACAAGGACCGTTGTCTTTTTTTTTTTTCGTTCGGGTACCCTGTAACGGGGCGGTGGCCCGTTATGTCGGTGTATTGCAAACGGTCCCGTTGTCCGGGTAACGGGATCCGGGCAACGGTATACACCGCATAACGGCGGCGGCCCGTCGTCGTTAGTGGCGGCGGCGGTTCGTCGTCGTCGTCGTTGTAAGCGGCGGCGGCATATTCTCTCTCCTAGCTCGCACGGACCAAAACGCCACCGAACCGCTGACGACGGTCAACACCGTTATGACCCGATCTTTAGGTCCGGAGGTGGTTCACACTCCGTTTGGTCTGTCCGTTCTTTTTTTTTTTTCCATCGTCTGCCCGAATTAAAAAACGTATTCCATTATAATAATATTATACCGGTATCGGTTAAATTCTATCTGATCATTTTCCAACCAGATATTCAATGTTCGAAACGTCCGCGTAGGCGGTTTACTGTTGTTCGAAATAATACCAAAGTACACGCCTAATATAATAATAGTAGAACGTTACTTTTCGTTGGGTATTTTATCGGCGACGTCTTGGTTGTTTTGTCCGTGGTCGATATTAATATTTCGTACGGATTCTCACGTTATTCTTTATAATTTAAAGAATACCGGGGGGGGGGAAAGCCTCCTAACTATAAACTTGTTAATAAATTGAGAATATAGGTTGTTTTTTTTTTTCAAAACCTCGATACCTAATTGACCCCCGATATTTTCGGGAGGGGGGGGAATTGTCTTTAATATCTCTAGAACGTGAACAAAGCGTTTAGATAATCGGGTTTTCGACCGCTACGGGTATCGGTTTTAATTATCGGATATCGAAAAAAAGCACATGTCGGTCCACCACCCTGCTATAGTATTTATCGTACGCGTTATTATATTTAGGACCGTTCATAGATGGATTTTCTAAAAATCTAAATTTCGAATATTAACGCGAGCAAAACGATCCCAACCAGTAAATCCGGGATATTAGATAAATATCATGTACATTATATAATATAAAGATTCCTAATAAAAATACAGGTACCTGTGTCATATTATTTTTATCTTTAGTTGTCTAGGGCTTTCTCCCCTCTTACGTTTTAAACGGTACACATTGATCGAACCCAAATTCGAGTATTCGACCTTTCTGTACTCAAATTATTGACCTACTCTGGTATTTCGGAGACTATTCGAGGTCAAACCTATCGCCGGTGTAATAATTAGTCACTCGGGCATCAACATATCAATATGTAATGACAAGGACTGGATGAGATTATCCAGCCTGAAAAATGTAAATTGTTTACTGACTTTCAGTTTTTCGGTGAAAAAATACACCATCAAATGATAATCGGTTACATCTATAAAAGTTTACATTAAAATTCGCCTCTCATGATATCATACCACGCATACTCGTTAGTCACCACTCAGATTTAGTAAAATAAATTAGAAATTATGTATCGTCGACTTCTTAGAAAACCTCGTAAGTGGTTTTTTTTTTGGGTGGGATCTTTGAACAACTTACTTATCTATCAAAAATCTTGTTCTTATCAAAAGCTGTATAGGAACTTTATTGTTGATTAGGTTATGTAGCATTTTTGGTAAGGTTGATCTATTATGGAGGTCATCTTTTGATTATCCCAGTACTTTTGTTGATAAACGTTTTCTTGTCTCAGATTTGCAAAATTAATTAAAATCTACTTACGAAGTTTTGCTCTGTATCCGACGATATTATATGGACTGCAATAATGTTTACTACACAGAGAACAACTAACAATACTTGTGATTCGTTGCATAATAATTTAAACACCTGTATATCTTTAGATGTATTTAAATTTGCAAAATTACATAAATATTTTAACACAATTTTCTATTGTTCTAATAAAATTTGTGAGACAGGCAACAAATACAATTAAATACAATATTGACGGATAAGTACCTTAGTTTATGGAACAAATAAAATCGAATCAAATTACATCACATTAAAACGTTATCGAATTAATTTTAAACTTATCAAGTTAAAATAATTAATTTTGTTTAAATTGTAATATTTTGTAATTATGCGACATTATTGATATTTAATCAGTCATTATACAACGGTGTTTTTCTATTTTAATTTTATCATCTACCCAGTCTCTTTTCGTAGGTATCATTTATAATAAATTATAAGTATAAGAATTGTCTGTGGAAATTCTCGTAGAAGAAGATTATCTATCTGAAGTGGGAAACATTTGAGTTAACGTATTTTTTAAAATCGGTAGGTAATTCAAGTATCCTTTAATATTGTTATTAATTTTCATTGTGTAAATGTTCACGGGAAGCCATTCGAGTGTGCCCGTTTTAAAAGCTAATTGATGCTCACACTCTTTATTGTTCATGAAATTAACATAAAATCCCTACTTATAACCTCAGTTGTTGCAGTAAAATCGACTTCACTTGAAGGTTTTTTTTTCGCTCTCTAAGAATAAATTGTTGACTGCATTCTACACAATATTATTATTACGAATACTAAAATAAACATGAATAATTGTACCGAAATACAGTATTCAATTCGAGTGCACTATATACCTTATTATAACACAATTAATATTTTCTGCGGTACGTGTACAAAGTTATAATTTATTCGGGTTTTAAAGAAAAAATTTAAAAAAATAAACCCGCGTTCAATGCAGCAATAGATGTTACGGATAGGACATTTTATTACTTATTTTTCGTCTCCAAGTATATTGTTCATTCGATTGGTACATTGATACCTATTTCATGATAACTGACTTGTTGTGTTGCACAATATTATCGTTGAATAACGTGCGTTATTAGACAATATTTTCAATGGATATTATTTTTGTTATTTAATTCGTACCGACGAACTGGTCTGAAATGAAATAAAAAAAAAAGAAGCTTTTATAACAGTAAAAATTTAAAACAATAGAGGTAGGTACCTATCCTATACGTGATATTTTTTTATCGACGACATATTCGTTATAGAATTCGGATGAGCCTGTTATTATAATCTAACGCAATAAATATTGTCTATTATTATAATATTTATGTGGCCGCCTCCTCCGCGTAGTTTCCACAACTATGCATTTTTTTTTTCTCTACAAAACTCGGCCCGACCGTGATATTAATATCACCTCGGGCGGAAACAGGAGAGTGGGTATGGACTAGAGAGGTTTAGCCCCCGCCCTGAACAACCTTTGTTATTCATTTACAATAATTTTATCGTTTTACCGAATTAAATGATTCATAATATTTTATTCTAATTATTATTGCCGAGCAAGAACCCACGTTCTTTGGAATTGCATTTCTACATAATATAATCATAATAATATGACACTACGTTATGATAATGTTATATTGTTATGTCTTTATCTCGGTGTATTTTCTAAATTTAAACTTGAAAGTATTTATTTTGTTTAAAGTAGTATTACTAAATGTCACTATAAAACAATACGTCTTGTTTGTGGCCAAGGTCAAACGTATTTTTTTTTTTCAAACAGAAGATTAAAAAGTGTTTTTTTCTCCATTCGTAAAATATTATAATTTTGTTCGGTAGGTGCATACCGATACGAATTCAAATTTAATTGGGTATACAGTGAAAATGTGTAGTTTTTCAAAAACCTTCCTCCCAATAATTACAATAATTGCAACGTTGTTTTATTCAAATGTTTTTTGTGTTCGGTCGCTTTTTTGTGTGTACGTTAAAATATAACACTAATAATCGATTGGGTAAATTAATATTTTTATCGGAAAACAAAAAAACAAAACAAAACTATTTCATATACATACTACGTACACTGCCCGTATTTTGGAGTATAATTTAACTTGATTTACTTTTTTTTTTTTTTTATATATAGTTTGTTTACGTTTATTTGTAACATATTCTTTTCACGCTTTTATTGCATTACCTATTGTATAAATATTATTATTTTTTTTTTTACATATTATATAGGTATAAATCACAACTTATACCCACTTTTAGCTAGGTATTCGACGTATGCGAGAACAAATGCGCGTGTATGTTATTATTATTCATAATTATTTGTTTTTTTTTTTTTTTTTTGTAAATTAAGCTTGCTAAAACTCGTTGTATAGGTTTTGTGTTTAAAAAAGTGGATCAGCGCGTCGTGCGTTGCGTTATTATCCGTTCTAGATATACGGCCCGGCAAAGCGAATCGCGTGGTTTTCGTGCGTGCGCGGGGGTGATGGGAGGGGGGAACCGCAGATTTTATTTTTTCATTATTATTATACAAACACAGTGTGTCCCAAATATGCGCGTTCGGGGTTTTTGCTTTTTTTTTCGTTGTTTTCTGCAGATGGTTTATTTTTTTTCCCGTACCGTTTAGACCAAAAATAATCACAAAATACATATCACAATACATTATATCGCATTTAGACGCACTAAACACACATTGTTAATACACAGCGCGTACCTACGTTTTACAAGATAAAATACAAATGACATATTTACAAAAATTGGGCGGGCCGTCTTCTAAAAAAAAAAACCGGGCGTCGACCTTATCAGAGGGAGACCTTGTGAATCCAGGACCACACCCTGCCGATAACGTTTTTTTTTTTTTTTTATTAATAACAATAACCGTCGCACTATATAATAATATTATATTATATCATTACGTTACAGTGTCACTGTAGACGATATATTTTTTTTTTTGTGCGCACAAACTGCCGTGCGGCTCTTAATAATAATCGTGGTGTAGAAAAAAAAAAACACCCGTTTATCTTTTTTCATACGCTGACTTCAAAAATACCTAAGCGGTGTTAGTTATCGTAACAGTAATAATAATAATTTGATTTTTTTCGTTTGTTCTTATTATAGGTTCAGAGACCGGAGCAAAGCGTGATGCAGGCGTTGGAAAGTTTGAACGACTCTCAGGTAAATACTGCTGCAACAATCGTTAATAATATTGTCGTTGTTTGTTTTACTATAATGCCCAATAATAATATGCAATACTTTCGACGTTACAAACTATTCTTAATGTTATATTTTTTTTTTAAACGACGTCGCCGTTAAAATTTATTAAATCGCATTGTTCACTATACGAACGACACGAATTATTCGCAAAAATTAATCGTAATTTTATTTTTTAAATTAATTAAAAAGACGCCACACCCGCGCGTGATGTCTCGCCGTATCCGTCGTGTACATAATGACCACCGGCATAGCACACATTATTCGTTTAATACAGGGACAACTTTGTGCTGTTGTTTTTAACGAATATTGGTCTATTATCAATTTCGAAGATTAGAACGTTATCTGCGCAACTACGTCGTTTTTTTTAAAAACAAATTTTTAAGCGAGATACGAGTACTTTAAATATCGCAATTTCAAAAACGCTCAAAAAAAAAAATCTACATAGTCACGCAGATAATGTTCTTATCTTTCGGGTTGGTCGTATAGGTCAGTTCGTTACTCTAATATTAAAACTAACGGCGCAAAGTCGTCCCAGCCGAACGGAAATGCGATGCGTTCGTAGACACAAAACGGCACATGTGGCACGCGTGGGCGTGGCGTCCTCTTAAGTGTACTGGTATTTTTGGGCTACATCATATTATCATTATTATTATTATGCGAACATGACGTACATAACATATTGACGTTTATTTCTTCCTTTTTTTTTTTCGAAACATTATTAACAGATAAAATTCTATTAATAAATTATATTTCTGTTTCCTTCGGCATTGGGATCGACATACTCGTAACACACAGCCACGCAGCGATACGAACTGTCGCTTTGTTATTTCTCCGATTATTTTTTATACACGCGAGTCGCGATAATTATTGGGAAATTATGTATTATGATGAACGGTCTGTACAGTTTTCGATAACATTGAGATAAAAACTACTTCCTGCGTAACTCGTCTCATTCGGAATAACGATTCGTCAACGCTCACATCGCACACAGCCACCGATTTTATCGCTAACATATTATTATTATTATTATTATCATCATCATCGATTAGTTTGTTTGTATTATTTATGACATACACGCGCATTGTCAGAATTGTTTTTTTCGCCTTTGACGGCAACAACGCAACGTACGTGGTGTGTGTGTGTGTGTGTGTGTGTGTGTGTGTGTGTGTGTGTGAAATTGTACATTTGTACTGCGCGATTCGTTTAAAATTTCTCACGACAAAAATGTATAATATAATATCATAACGTGTAACCGAGTATGTTTATTATTGTAGATGTATTGTGACGACTCCTGATTTTTGGGGTCGAACCGAGCTCGAGGCATACTTTTGTTAGACGAAGTTCAAATCAATTTAAAAAACAATTTACGAGTGTTGATAAAAAATAAAAAAATAAAAATGTCTTCATTTAAACGAATAAGTAGACCGTTTCATTTATGTATCGTATATGGCTATATTATAATATGTGGCAATTACTTTAAGTAACCGACCGAAGGGTCTGTTCGATTATAAAATTAATTATGTTATTCGTCACACATTCGATGTATAAACGTATTAAAATTAGAAAAAAAAAAAAAACAAACAGCGATATAGTAATACGGATTAATACATTCATTATTCATTTATATCGTTTTTCCGCGACACTAAATCGTACTAAATGAATCCGAATTAAAAATAATGCGCGGTTAAAAATACCGTGCGAGATGTAAAAATAGACGTTCTCGCGTAGTAAGCGATTAAACTTTCGAGTCGAAAGAGGTTAATGCAAATCGATAATGCGCACTAGTGTTATTACTAAACACACCGTGCGTCGTTCGATCATCGACGACTAAATTGTGTCCGTATAATATCAGAACAAACAACGCGGACGCATAAATTATTATAATGATAAAATATTATTTGATTTCCGCAGGTCAACGATTTCCTATCCGGCAAAGCACCGTTAAACCTCACGATGAGACTGGGCGACCATATGATGCTCATCCAATTACAATTGTCCACCGTGTCGTCGTCGGGGTCGTCGAAACGGCTGCAGACGGCAGCTTCGACCGTGGCCAGCACGGGTACCGCGGCGTCCGCTTTGAGCGCTTCGACCGTGGCTCCGGAACCGCCCCCGCAGGCCACCGCCACGGCTGCTACCGCGTGTTCGGCGGGCAACATCATCGGCACCCCTAGACTGATACCCGGCGTGGACGCTTACCCGATCACCCGCGTCCGTAACGTGTCCGACGACAGCGACGACAACTCGATGGATACGACGGAGGACGCGCCGCCCGAACGTTCAATGACGCCGCCGACGCCCGCGCCCGCGCCCGTCGAACAGGCGGCACCCGCCGCGACACCCCCGGCGCCCGCGACGGCGTCTTGTTCGTGCGACGCGAGCACGTCGACCGCGTCCACCACCACGGCCGCGGCCGCGGGCGACAAACCGCAACTGGACACCCGGGCGCTGGCGGAGGCTTCCCGGAATCTTACCCAGACCCTGAAACAACTGTCCTCGGAAGTGCTCACCACGAAAAGCGGTTCCAAAGAAGTGAGTGTTCGCGGATTTCGCGTAAATAAAATACGGCGTTTGGGGGGGGGGTGTAGGGGGAAGGGGAAACGAGAAAAACGTAATGAACGCGACGACGATATATTATTATAATGTCGTATACCGTCGTCGTCGCCGGGGGAACTTTTCATTATTCGCAGTGGCGGTCGAATATCTAAAATTAGCGCGTGTCGTTCCGACGACGGCGCGCGCCCATTCGATATTTCGGGCGGATTGATTCTGACGATTTTCATGTGCCGCCCCGGACGTCGTCGTGTCGTCATATAATTATTATCGATTGTCGCGTGGGCGGCAACGTTGCTGAATCCGGCAACGCAGGGGCCCCGGGGTATATATACTAATTCGGTCTCGCGTCCCGAGGGTTATTATGATCAATGCGTCGCCGTCGTACCACGGCCGCAGCAGCAGCATCCGCGCGCACACGCGCGCGGGCGCGGCGAACCGCCGCCGCCGCCGCACACACGGACGGGAAAAAAGTTTCGTGTCGCCGGCGACGATTGTCGACGTTGCCGTTCACTCGTTTCTCGTTCACGTACTAACCCATGCCGCCGCCGCCGCCGTCTTTGTGAGCGGCGCGTTGTGCGTATATAATATTATTATAATACACGTATACTACTACTACTACTACTACTACTACTACTATTATTATTATTGCTATTACCACTACTACTACAACACACACGTCCGATGACCTCAATTCCAGGTGAAATACGGCCGAGTTTCTTTGCACGACCGAATTAATAAACGTTGTATAGAAACGAAAGATAGCGCGTGGTGTTGCGCGTGAAAGAGACACGATATTTAATAATAATATAATACGCGTACCCGATTTTTATAGGCATTTACAATAACACGACGTTTGTCCGTCGTACTGGTTGTTTTTTTTTTTCTGTGGTAACTTTTGGACTCCCCGTTCAGCGCATGATATTATTTTAATATAACGTGCGCGCGGACGCGTATCGTTTGTTTTCGGTGTTTTTTTTTTTTTTTTGTTTTCGTATTTTCGGTCTCGCGTGCGTATGCACGCGAAAACGTTATGCGACCGCGGCCCCGGCAGAATCCGGGTATTCCCGTAGCCGTTCGCGCGGGGCGTGGTTGGGCCGCCACGGTGAAATCGACGTCATATTGATCACGCGGGAGGTCGCTTATCACAAAGGCCCCGGGCCGGTGCGACCTTTTGTGTTGTGTGTATAGTACTCGCGTTGCTATATATACGCACGCACACACGCATATATACCTTGTTTTCCATTGATCGGCTCTCTCTGACCCGACACCCCCCCCCACCTTCAATTTCTACGTTTAAACGCCGAAAACAATAAGAATTGTGTGTGTGTGCGCGCGCGCGCGCGCTCTTGCATATTATCCTGTGTAATATTATGTATCCGTCCCGATTCGAATGCAAATTTCTTTAGCTTTTTGATATACGTACTGTTTATTACGCAGGTACCGCCATATTATAATGTTTATTATAAATTAAGAGCCGCGCATTTTCAACGCATTAAAAAAAACACAAACAAACCTTGAAAGCGTCTCGAAATGCGGCGTGATTAACGCGATAAACGCATTTGAAATTCCGTAAAAAACGCCGGAATGTAATTTTGTCGACAAATGCGTATTTTATATTATCGAATCCATATTATGATAAATCGCAATGTATTTTTAATGCCGTAATCGCTCCGTGTATGAAAAGTCGTAGAACAGTCGTCAGATTTGTGAAACGCAGTGGTGTTTGTTCAAAAACGGAATAATATGTAAAACAAAATGTTCGTCATATTTTGTAAATCCGAACTTTATTCCTTTTTTACCGTAAACTATACCGTTTTGGACAGTTATTTTTACGCGTATCCGGGACGCTATGGATTTTATGGTGTGTTGTTTTTTTTTTTTTTTTTTTTTATTTTACATTTTATATATACATACAATACAACGAAAACATCGTCGGGTTTTCTCCGGTCCGGGATTTATATAAAAACCGTACACGCCGTTCTATACCTACTGTTATAATGTGCCTCCAGCGGACGATTCGGAAAACGTAACCGTAAACGAGATCCGTGTTTTACGGTACTCGGCGTTCCAGTTGGCCGGACAACGGTGTCTGGTAACTGTGTCGATTCCGCCGGGGCCGCCTCGGATACGCGTAAAAAATAAACTCTACGGCAAATAGAGCGGACCGAACACACGGCCGGCGGCAATCAATAGGTACACCGAGCCGAGAGTACTACTTTCCCCTCACCCCCTCTACAATATCGCGGTACTATTATGCTATACGGATCTACTACTACTACCATTACTATTATTTTTTTATTTTTTTTTTTTTATTTTACATTTTATATATACATACAATACAACGAAAACATCGACGTCTTTTCTATTTATTATTATTATTATTATTATTTGGTATAGGTTAATAATGCCTATATATATATATTATATTTTCTCTCGATTCGTATTTTATTTTTTTATTTTACTTAATTCACGAATGGGGGAGGGCGAACAGGACGCGCCGTCGTTTACAATAATATATTACGAGTATGTACGAAATCGTGCAAAAATTTCATCCGAATACAATATGATATTAGATATTGTATATGTTTATATGTACAGTAAATAGATACCGAAAATATAATTTATTGATAAAACTTTATAATATCCACACGTTCCTTGTGTATACGTCCCGTCGTATTATACGAGTATAACCTGAAAACAACAGACGAGTAATAAATAATTTAAAACAAACGGTTTGAACACGAAATATCGTATTTGGCATTTTGTTCTTTGATTATCATATTGTCATCATCGATTTTTCTTTAGCATGCGATAATGCACTTATAATATTATTTTATATTAAATGTGTTTTTGACTCTTGGTTGTACATTATTGTTATGTATAGGTTCTAGGATATTATATATGAACGTATTTTTCTCCTTAAAAATATCAAATCGGAATTATGCGTTTAATTAAAAATACGAGACAGAATATTATACCGAATACGAAATGTTTTATTCATCGTGGGGTCACGTGAAGGGGTTGTTAATGGACAACGGTCCAGTGGGCGTCGTCCGCCCGACGTCTCTTTCCGTCATCCCCCTCGTGGCAACCGACTCCTACGCGTCGTCGTACCCAACACAACATAGTAATCTTTGCTCCACGTGAATCATATTACTATAAATATGTATTATAATATAGTATACATATTTATAATATATACTAAGACGAGAATAAATTATTTATGTATATAATATATTATGGTGGTGCCATATGAATAACAGTTTTTTTTTTGTTAACTAAACCTTTTTTATACTATCTACATTCTACACCCGACCATCGGTCGAACGTGTACCATAATATGACGTATACTTGTTTACATTAATTATCTTATATTCGATTATTGTTATTATGCGTCGACGTAGGCCCATCACAATAACATGATTTGTTTGATTTAATGGTTATAAAAAAGAAAATTGTTTTGTGGGGTTTAGAAACGGTTTTTCTAATTTTCACCAATTCCAGTGAAATTTAAAAATTATCGTTAACACTGTTATCGTGATAACTTATCATTCGTTCACTTGGCAAGTCTTATTAATTATAAGACTAATCGTTCGCTATAGTCTACGGTCCGATACCAATCTCAAGTGGCATGGATACCTTCGATTTTATTCGAATTGCATTTTAGATCGTTAGGCGGTTGACATTTAGACGTACTCATTGTTATTTGTTCTCAGTCTTTGATTTCAATTTTAGATTCTGAGCGTAACGAAGAATATGTTATAGTTTTACAATAATGTTTAATTTTATTTTTTTTAACCGTGAACAACTTTTTTACCAGAAATTTTCCTTCTATTTTCATGTATAGCACTTTTTCTGATAAGAAATCTGTCTAGAGTGATACTTAACAAAGGTCACTTTTTGATTTTCCCAGAAGCTTTCATTATAAATGAGAAAAACAGGAAAATTTACGAAATTTAATATTTTAAAATCGTAAATATTATGGCCTTTTAAAGATTATTTATAACTGAACTTCACTTAGAATCGTTTTTCGTTAACAATAATCGGACGTTGCGTACAGATACAGAATACATTAAGTTTCTATCTTCCCAACTTTTCACCTAAAACAATGGGGCCCAACCATCGTGCGAAGTATATCCGTTTGTTTTTAAAAAATGTATTATTTTGGGTGTGTTAAAAAATGTTCTAAGTTATTTAGAAAGTCGATATTTTAATTTAAAATTTGGCTTGTCCAAAATGGATACACAAATGTAATGCGGTTATTTCACGGAATTTTCAAAAAATAATCTGAAAATCTAAAAACTTTTCCCTTAATAACTTAGAAAGTATATCAACAAACACATCAGGCTTTAAAAATAAAATCGAACATTAGGGAGTTATGATGTCTGATTGGCAATTTTCCACCGCTTATTTGTCTAAAACATACGAAAAATATAGGTGTGTTTGAACCCCCTTAATATATCGTTTACATTTTAATATCAATGACATTAATCTTGTTTATCGGTATACAGAACAAGAAAAATCAATTACAGGGTAGGATACTACAAAAAGGCTATATTCGTTTATTTATTAGATAAACGTGTCGCTCCTCTGTCTATATATTGTAATAACATTACTATTACTTAAAAATCACCGACAGGTTGACTTGGAAATAACAAAAACGGTTTTAAATATAAATATAAAAACGCAACAAATAAAAAAATCCATTATTTTTCCTGAGCCTAAGTATTAAATATTACGATTTTATATAAATACTGATGACTATAATACCCGTATTATATTTTTCTGTTTGCTACTCCTATTGCTAGCATACATAAAATAAAGTAGCCTAGTAGTAATTAACTTATGTGTAAGACGTGTAAGCTTTTGGAAATTGAAATTTCAAATTTTACTATTAATAGGCGTTGAAACCATACAGCAGATACAAATTTAAAAAAATAATGGGTAGGTATATCGAAGGACTAAAAGTTGGCAAGTTAGTTCGAAAACCGACACTTCACGCACATATTATAAAATACTACTTAATAACTAATAATCTATAGCAGACCAACAACTAGGATTTTTATAAATCTTTATAGTCTCCATAAGTCTTATAAGACATAAAATACCCGAAGTTTTCGACAATTCCGTGCGAACCGAATTTTCAATCTTCATACAGCTCATTTAAAACACGCATCTACCTTAAAATGTATTCTTAGACAATGAAAATATGAAAAATTAAAATAAAAACAAGATACAGAATATTCTGCAGAGTATTCGATTTCTAATACCCATCATAATATCTATAAAACCGTGGCACAATAGAAATTACTACAAATAGACCAATTGGTTTCTCGTCCCACTCAGAATCTAGATTGTTTAAAAATCCAACATTTATTATTATCGTATTCGTGATCGTATAAAATAATATGTACGTTTATAAAGTGTATAAATTACATATGATGTTTAACTGACAACTGTTATTTTTTTTTACGATTTACCCAATGTTATGTGTATTTAAATCGTTCATTGGATTCGAACAGTTTAATAATCCGTGTACATATAAAAGAAAAAATTTTATATGTACACATCGCAGACCTAAGGATGATTTATATTTGGAAAAATGGCCAAAGTTTTTTAAACGCCTTATACAATTTTAAAGTGGTATAAATTCTCGTGAAACACATAATACTAATATGTAAAGTATATATGCACACAAATAGGTGTAATACATTATAGTTTATAATATAATTTATTATATACACTCGGTTTATTAAGTATGAAAAATAAAAACGCAATAGTATATGTGTTCTTTGTCTCGTGAAATTAATTACAACATGTACCAGATAGTATAATAGTGTTTTATGTATTATCTGAACGCTGCAAATATTAATAAAATAAAAATTTGGGTCATTATTACTAGTCTGCTGTAATACTCGTTATTATAGTGTAGAAACGAAAACACAACAACTACGCGTCGTTTATGTGATTTATTTCTTATCTGAAGAAGTATACGAGTGTATAATATTATTAAAAAATTAATATTAATATTTGTACGAGTTCGACTACGTTGCCTAAAATATGTATCACGAGTTTATCATCGTAGACAACACAACAACACTTATTTTAAAACAGCGTTATTGATAATTTCGTATTAGATTATATGGTCCATACTGATCAGAATTTTTTTTTTTTTTACGCAATACGTACTGAATTAAAGTAATACGTAAACCGTATGTCTGAGTACAAATGTATGTAATCTGTTTAAAACATGTAAAATAATTAATTTGGTTTTTTTTTAAATTTGTTGAATGTTAAAATATAGTGTTAATAATATTATCGATGCACCTATTATATTATTATTATTATTTCTGATTTAAAACTGTGATTGTGTAGCATATTATACGAATAGTTTGAATTTGTATCGTTTTAAATCTGTGTACCGTTTGTATATTATTTGTATGTCTTCTGTAGGTTAAATGTATAGAAAGAGAACTCAGCACCGCAGGTGCACTTGAGATTTATATAAGGAGATCGTTAAAATCCGTCAAAGCGAACGAAATACGAGAGACAACAAGGGTACGACCCCGGAATTGTCGTCGTAGTTCTACTCTTTTAAATCTAATTGTTTACGTTTAAATTCCAACATATAACTAAAAATATGATTACGTATAAAGGTTCAAAAGGTGGCCAAAGCCATAAGCAATATGATGACTACTATAATATAATTATAGTGGGTACTTACTTGTATATTATAATATAATATGTGCGTACACGTTTATCTTTTTTTTTAACACCCTATTCGGATGAAAATAAAACGAACGGCCCACGGATATCGGAGATACGGATTTACTTACAACTCTACTATCACTACACTTATCTTTTTTTTTTTTTGGATATACTAAAATTTAATATCCAATTGAATGTATTTTTCAATTCGATTTTTTTGTATTGACTTTTCTCCTTGAAAACATAATTTATGTGGCCTACCTAATATAGTAATATATACAATTATATATATCTCCTAAAGATCGTTGCTGCTCGATCGATTATTTGCTGATTATTTTTGGCTTGTATATTATTGGTGTGCATTTTCTTTATGTGTATTTTTTTCCATAGTTAATTTTAAATTCATATTATTCCGTTTCACACCATTAATACCGTTTTATTTTCCCACGGAAATACCGTAATAATAATTATTACGAATGACGAACTGTTAATATTTGTGTAACGTTTTAAATGCCAGCTGTACATAAAATGTTTATAAACTTTCCATGACGTCAATTCAATCATATAATAATGATTTTCACGACTGTAAAGTGTGTTTCCTATTTCTTGAATATCACCTATCAATTTTCACTTGAATCTAAATCTTTCTGAATTCTGTAATTTAAATTTCTTTTTTAAGTGTGCAGCGTACCTAAAATAAATTAATATTGTCGCATGTTATAATATAATGTTGCTGTTATATGCGTTTTGACATGTTCATTCTCCGACATATACAGAAAAATATCCATTTTTCATTGGCCATTACTCCTCGTTATTCAATATACTATTATCACCGAGTAAAATGATTAATTGAATAAGCGTTTTCTTTGATTAATGAGTATTTATAACTGTAGTAATTAATAAAGAGTCAATATTGAAATATTCACCGAGTCTGGTAAATAGACAAATATTGCCGTTGTGTAGAATTAAGCATTATAAATCGATCAAATAACGAAAATAGAATATACAAACATTTAAATTTATTACGATAATAGTTTTGCATTAATATTCTATACATCATCGTCTTAAGTAGACGTTATACTCTCGTCTACTAACTCAGTCTAACTCAGAAGTAACGGGAAACGTATAGTAAGGGGTACCTAGAACGTAAATTGTGGCGTTTAGGTTGAAACTAAAAGTTTGAATTGAAAATTAAAAAGAAAATTTTCCAACAGTATGTATACGTAATTTTTTTCAAAAAAGTTTCAGCTAGGTATTTAAAAAAAAAATGCATGGCTATAACTTTTTGTATGACAATTTTTCAGGCAAAAAAACCATGTACAACCGTTAAAAATGTTCTCTTCTTTATATTTTGTTATTCGTATCCAGACTCTAATTTAAACCTAAACGCCACAATTTACTTTCTAAGTAATTTTGCTAGGTTGCCCGTGTTAGTGTTTGACCGGGTCGGTACATGCGGGTGTGGCGCCTCTAAATATGTCATTGTGTGCAACCACAGTACTGTAGTGTAGTATTATATTATTTTGTGTCTAAAAAAATCGTACATTTATCGAAATTGTACGTACTATATTCATACATAATCGATGAAACAACCATCCTTTCGTTTTTCTCGCGTTAAAATAATTACAAATAAGTTTGAAATAATTCATAGCAATAGCCGAGTAAAAATGAATATGACTTATAATAGGTAGTGTTAACGTTGTTGCATATATAGGCATCTTTTTGCAGTTTTGTATCACTTTCACTTTGACAGTTACTTATATTATTATAATAGGCGTGCGGTTCGTAATCTGCGGCTATACAATAGATCCTTCGGTTTTTTTTTTTTTTACAACTCTCCGTGTCAACCGTATGTAGTATTATTGCCGACGAAAAGTGTATTTCTATACCTATACTAGTAAAAATATATTCGGCCGAAACAAGTTTCGACAAATTATTAGTTAAATATAAGGTTACCTTCTTCAGGGGCAGGGAGGGGGGACCCAGACTGGTCCCAGACGCGATATAATCGACACGCGTCGACCGCGTTTTTCGTGCGCGTATATCGTTATTCGCAATCCGTGTGCAACGGGAAAAACGATATTTTTAACAGTCCGTCGCATATCGATTCGAGTGCCGTGCACGTCTATTTTCAGTGGCGTGCTCGGGGTTAATATCCAACCCCCCCCCCCGCCCCGCCCGCAATCGGTTTGAAAACACAACGGCCGTTTTATACGAGAGTTCGGTCGGTGTGAGTTACCAATTAGTAATTTTTCGTTGAAAATATACTGTGTTTCAGCCGAGTAGTCGCCGGGGAAAAAGGAGAGAAAAACTATTGGGAAAACCGGGTTTTAAATATCTCGTTGTCGGGGGTCCCGGCGTCGCGGTAGAATTATCGGCGGTTTAATCGCGAACCCATTATTATTTTTGCCCCGTGAATACCTCGCGTCGTAAATTCCCGGGCGCGCCACCGAGCGGTTATTACACGCGAGCCGTGCGAGTGCCCTCGTCGTACAACAACAGTGTAATATATCGTGGTAATAACATAAGCCGGTATCGTCCTAACCGAAATGACATTGTTCGTACATAGTGAATATCCGTCGTACCGTGGTGCAACTTATTACCTATAGGCAGTAAAGTTGTAGGCGAACACGCAGGTCTACACCACGCAGAATTACATAATTAAATTCGTTTTACCCCCCTCCCGTTTAATATGATATTATTATGATAATTTTAATATTCGAATGGTCGTGATAATAACGCCGCGCGCGCGCGTGTGTGGGTCTCCTCCTCCGTCCCGCTTCTGCTGCCCCGTCCCGCCGCCCCCAGACGGGCAGCGACGTCGGTTTATATTTGTTCGTGATGTTGTCGGTGGCCCCGCCGCCATAAATAAATATTAAATACAATTTTTTTTTTCCCCCGTGTCTTTCTTCAGAAATAACTCCACTGCTGTTTGTAGCGCGGCCGCGGCGCGTCGGTATCGCTTGTAATAATAATAATATATTATCGCCACTGAGACTGTGTTGCCGCATATAGTTATAACAGTCCGCTCGGGCCGGAGCGGCTCGCCACGCGCGCGCACAATAATAATAATAATAATAATTGTTATTATTATTATTATTACTGTTGCCTACGTCGTCGGGCGTACTCTCTCCTCTTCCACCTCCGTGTATAAATACGTACGACTCGCGACCATCACCGCCGGTTATTGTGCACGCACGATACTCCCACGCGCGCCACGTCGTCCCTTGCGCGTCGTCGCGTGAAAGTGGGAGCTCGACGACGGCGCTCGTAGGCCGGGCGAAGTTGTCAGAGGGGAGGTTGATCTACGCACCCACACGTCCCCGCCGCCGTGTGTCGCACAACCCATCCTCGTGCGTGTACACGCGTAATCGCCGGCCTACCCCTCCTCTCTCAAACACACAACTCGTGCGTACAATGTATTCCCCTCCGTCGTCGCGGCTCGTCGTTGTTTACCCGGAGACCAAAAACCCGTTGCCAAGGGTTGCCAAAGTTCCTCTTTTTTTCTTTCTCCCCCCCCCCTCCCGTATATTTGTGCACCATCGGGCGTCGGCAACGGTCGTGTGTCCCATACTCCCGTACTATACGGGCGCAATCGATTCGGTCGTTTGCCATGGGCGGAGGCCCGACACCCTTGTCGCCTCCCCGTCGACCGTATTGATCTCGCTCAATCGCACTCTCTCTCTCTCTCCCTCCCTCTCCGGCAGCTTTACTGCTGCAGTACTCGCTGCTCAGAGTCTGTCTAGGCCGGTCGCCGCAGCAGCCGCAAGGCCGCCTCTATCCCGGACTCTGCCACTCCGCGTCGTTGCATCGTCGTTGGACGGCTGCCAGTTTTGAGGCAGGTCGTTGCTTTTTAACTCCCCCGCCTACGATCCGGTGCCCCCGAGGTTTCTCCCACCACACACACTCGCTGATTAATTGATAAATTTTACAACGACCGGTATGAATAATAAATTGTGTGTATTTTTTTTTTATTCCTTGTCGCTTCTATACGATCATTATTATAAACACGTATTTGAGAAGACTAGGGGAGTATCTAATTTCAACGTCGCTTTGATATTTGTTTCTAATATTTTTACCCTGTCCTGTAAGTCAGCGGTTCTCAAATTGTGATACGTGTACCACTGGTGGTACACAAAAGACCTCACGGTAGTACCAGGGATGGATCCAGAAGGTGGCCTAGAGGCCCCCCCCCTCCCAGACATATTATTTCTCAATTTTTTTTATAAATCTATAGTTCCTGATATTACTATATTCCAATCACAGATATGTATGACATGTATTACATTATATCGTAACTGTATTTGTGTTGTAAACAAATTGTTGGGCCCCTCTTTCCGAATCTTTGTTCGGGATCCGTGCCGGGGTGATACGCAGAGGGCCGTATGGAGCAACAGTATAAAAAATAAATTAATGAATATTCGTATAAATGTTTTTAATATATCTAATATTGTATTTTATATTAATATTATATTAAAGTATTTTTTACTGTCTTATACTCGTATCGTGTTGAAAAAAATGTAAAAAACATTTTGAATTGTTCAATTTTAAGTTTTACGTGATAAGTGACAGATCCATAATACATTTTATAAGTGGCACGCGAAATTAAAAGTATGAGAACCTCTGCTATAAGTACTTATAGCTTACAGGTACTCTATAATATATTAAATTCGCGGGTGTTAAATTAAAATCTATAGGATGCCCAGTGTCCCTCAATTCTACCTATGCCCTCTTCACCCCCCTCGACTTTAAACAAAATTGTATTCGTTCTGATTAAACATCGCGGTGTTGTTTATAATAATTGAAATATATACTAATATGATTACATTTTTTTTTTTCCGTTTGTGCGTTCTGTAGTCGTAGACATATATTAATTCACGTTAGAATTTAAGAATGTTGTGATGTATTTTTTGAAGATAAGAAATATCATTCAAATTTGTCGGTTAATTGTGTAGGGTATATAAATTATATTGTTTCAATATTTATTTGCGGCGTTTTTTCAACCAGTATAATTATTATTATAACGCAATCATTATTAATCATATTATATAATATATATATATATATTACCTAAATGATAATAATACCCATGATTGAAAAGGATATTTTATCGATTAGTCCCTTCTATAATCTATTTTTAATTGTGATATAAAAACGATTAGGTGGGTCAAAACAAAGGTGGATAGACAAAGTGGAATGAATTTTAGCAGAATTCGGAACTCTGGATGAAAAAATATTAGCCCAGCATAGAGATAGGTGGAAGGAAGTTTATGTGGGCCTCAATGACCTTTGAAAATAGAAGAAGAAGAAAAATGGTCTAAAGTTTTTAAAAATAGCATGTTTTATTTGATATTATATATTTTTACTTAAAACAAAATTCCTAGAATGGAAAAAGCAATTATTGGAATTTGTAGTTTGCATAATAATTAATAGTAACAGTAATATTTATTTTGTGTGTGTATGTGTGTACAACATTTCTACCAAAAATATTGTACTGACTTTCAAGTGTTATTTGTATTCAATTACAAATATTATAAATAATGTGTAGAAATAAAATACTTATATTGGACTTTTGTATTCGTATTAACATTTTAATATCAATCTGACAATTTTTGAGGTTTTTTAAATTTATTTAGTTTTATGTGATTAAAATTGTATTGACTGACCCATCATAAATCCTTAATAACTTAACATGAGGTTCACCATAAATTGTACTTAGTGGGAAAAACAGTTTATATTATATAGAAGATTTTTTTTATATATATACATAAGTCTTTTTAAATATTTCAGTTTGGTTTAATTATTAAAATTTGTCTTATAGATATCTAATAGGTATTAAAGAAAATAATTATTGTAATAGTTTCAATACTTGAATCATTTATTTATTAATTTTTCCATTGTTTTATAGATGCACATTGGATTTAAACGAAGACCTGGTGCAATCATTGAAAGCATGCAACATCATGGCAAAGGAGTATACTCCGGAACATTTTCTGGTAAATTTCATGTTCATTTTAAAATACTTACTAAGGCTTTATGATATCTTCCATGGTTTCCTACAGCTAAGTTGGCCTAAGGCTTCTTGGCTGAAAACATAAAATTACACATGTCTGCTGATAACTTTATAGAACTGCAACTAACAACTTTTGATATCCCATCAAAAGAGAACATTAATACGAAAAATATTAACTGAACTTGCCTTGTTGCCTTTAACTCTGTTAAATATTGTATTTGTTATTCCAGGTACATTGAATCCGGCTTTGCAAGATCGCTTTGGTCGTCCAAAACGTGACATCAGTACCATAATTCACATACTTAATGACTTGTTGTGCGCTACACCACAGTACCGAGCAGCTGCTAGATCAGGCACACCAGCTGTATGCACAGCCACTACACTTCCTCCTACTACTTCAGCTGCTCAAGCTGCTGCACCATTTACCACTGCTAATGGTGTGTCCGCTCAAACGTCTGCTAATTCTGATAATACTGGTAAGAAATTAAATACCACTTTTCATGTGATTCCTATAATAATATTATGATATACTATAAAATTATATTTTTTTACAGAGAGTGAGACTAAAGAAAATGCAGCCACTCGTGGAAAAATGGAACGATTACGTTTGATTATGGAAGAAAAACGTGAAAGACGTAGGGCCAGTCGCTCAGTGCCGTATGATAAATCTAAATCAGGGACACAATGGTCGGCTAAATCAGAAACACAGAGTGTCGCACCACAAGATCCCCCAGCAGATCCAACATTACCACCTGAACAAGTCGTTGTTTGAAAAGTTTCTTCTGAGGACGTTAAATATTATATTGTGATATAAATAATAATCCCCCACCATTGTTTTTTTTATGTAAAACAAAAATGTATTTATATACATTTATATAAATATATTTATCAACAAAAATGGTAATTTACACTTTAGGGTGCAATATTAATATTGATTAAGTATACAAATAGGACCTATTGATTTTTGTTACATCAAATTATCATGGCCTACATTTTATCTGTACTAATTTTATTTTTCATATTTATACAATAAAAAGATCAGCTATAAACATCAAATAGACAACTTCAAAACTAATCGTCCATAAATTATAAAAAAAAAAAATAATAATAAATATTTGTAAAGAAACTGTATAGTATAATGTTTATATTTATAAATACCTAATTTGATTTAAGTGATTTTTTTTTTCTTAGGGAGTTTAAATATCAGATAATAAGGAAATAAATTGCGATTTATTACCTTAATTTCATGAATGTAAAAAATTAGTAGACATTTTTAGAAATTTAAATAGACAATTGAATTTTGACTTGTCGAGTTTATGCCGTATATATGTATATATTATTATAAATCATGCGTGTATGAATAATTAGTATTCGTATGGTTAATGAAATTGATAAAAAAAAATTGCTTAAAGATTGATTATTTATTAGGGTAATAATGTATGAAAAAAGTAATGTTTAAGTTCTGTTTAACCAATAGGGTTTTTTTATTCACATATTATACATAATAAAATCATGAAACATCATATATTTAAAAATAATATGGTTTTTTTTCCTGTTAATTTGTATATTTTACAAAAAAAAAAAAAAAAAAAAATTAAACTGACTGTTTTTATATGATATTTCAAAATTTACCTGCTTTTCCTACATTTTAATTTTACTGTGTAATGTGTATCATCTTCGATACAATTAAATACATGTTCATAGAATATGGATTTAGTGTTATTTATTGGGCATTTTGTTATTGATTTTAGATTACTATTTTACGCATTTTTTTTTTTATTTTTTTCATTCTTATTAATGATAATAGTTTATACTTTATACTGCCGTCAAAACATTTTGTCGTCATTTTATAAACCTTATCGTAACCCCTCTATCAATTTATATTTTATTATTTTTAATAATTAATTTATCAATAATTCTTTATTTATACATGAAAATAAATAACTTTGCATTGCAACTATGTGTGTATTGGTTTCATTCGATTTGGTTTCAACATAAAGTCAAACGATTATTGAAATATAATTGTATATTACTCATAATTATGACACTTAAACTATAAAATATATATTTTTAAATGATTTGAAATATTATGGAATATATAGAATATTTGTTTTATTAAGTTTTATGAGTTGAAGTTAAAGTGCGGTGATACTCAATCTGATTTAGGCTATAAAAATATATTCCAAATACATATATTTCAAACAAAATTTGCTTATGGTTTGTGTTATTGCATGAGCATAAAGTATAGAGGCAGAGCATAAAAAACCGTGACATTCAAATAATATTTTCCCTGAAAAATAAAACTTAAGTTTATGTAAGTAACAACTGTTGCCTAATAATAAGATATATTGTTTTGTCTTGTGGAGTAATGAAGTTTTTTTTTTTAGAATTAGTCTTCAGGTTATTATTTCTAAATTTAAATCATTTTTTAACAATGATATCTATTAAACATAAATATAACTACATATATTAATAATTGTCAATGTTCAATATACAGTTTTATTTACTGAATTGATTCAAGATTGTTTTTATTTAAACTCTGCACTCTGCCAGTATCATGAAAATGTTTTATTTATACATAATAGTATTATATTTTATTTAAATTAATATCTCATTGAAACTATGTAAAAATAATCATAAATTTATAAAATAAAATTGCTATTTGTACAAATAAGAACATTTTAGTTCCAATGTGACCAATTGCACATTGTAATATATTTAAGGGTAAAGCAATAGCAATATATTTGTTTTTTTCCTTAACACAATGTAAACAAAACATATTTATTTTTAATACTCAATACATGTTTGTGTTTGGTTTTTTCTTAACACAAATAATTAATTGTGATGTATAATATAAAATTATATCTTTTCCTATTTTAAAATTCAACATATTGTGTATTCCTTTGATGATAATATTGTTCCTACTTTGTTTGAAATGTTAATATATGTTTACAAAAAATATGACCCCTTTATTGAAAATATGTACAATAGTTTTCAATTTATTGGGTGTTTTATTTAATATTCAATATTCAAAAACTTGATTTGTAGACAGGTATAGCTTTTGATTAATCTATTAGAAATACCTGTAGGCTGTTGGTAAATATAGGTTGATACCTATACACTAAACATATTTCATGAAAGACATATTATTAAAGAGTATAAATTGTTATGCAATTACGGATAAATACCTAATATGGCTCAAATATTTATGAATGGTCAATACATTATTACCAAGGACGAAAAATTAAGTATTATGATGTCAAACTCTCAAACTACTGAGAACTGAAGAAGTTACCTAATGATAGTAAAGAATGGAGAGAATAATAATATGGGAAATTGCCAAACCGACTTAAGGGTTAAATACTGAAAGATAGTCTAATATTACATTATATTTATTTAATGCAATTGAATAAATAGTGGTTAATATTTAAAAATTGTCTTGTCATAAATGTTTTATCAATACATGTATTATAATATCATTTTCTGTCGCAAATAATGACTTCAATTCTTAATAATAAAATCCAAAGAATGTTTGGAAGGACCCAACAAAAGATATAATATTATGTCTATTGATTGTTATCTATAAATGATAAGTGTGTTTATAGTATTTTTAGATTCTGAATGGACTGATGTAATTGTTTTGCTATGATTTATACAATTTTTATTTTAATACTCAAAAATCATGTTCCAAATAATAGTGATTTTTATAAAAATAAATCCAAAAATATTTTGAATCTAACTAGTGGATTGAGGTCATTTTTTGATTTTCCCAAGAGTTTTCCCAACAAATGTGAAAAACCGGGATAAAACATGGGGAAAAATCGGTACAACATTAAACAAATTATATTAAAGAAAATATATAAAGCCTATTTAATTATTTTTTTTACTATAAAATGACATATATATTGTTGACAAAGCATCACTGTCAACTGAACTCCGTTCAGAATCTTTTTTTCGTAAACAATGGTTTATCGTTGCTTACAGATATACATTAAATTCCCGTCTATATCCTACCTTCCCGATTTCCCACCTACTTCAGTGGTTTTACCCGTCCCCATTATCTTACTTATCTTTTTTTATACTGTCACCGAACACCAAAATTGGGTGGGGGTTGGAGTACCTAAACTTATTTTTCAAATATTGAAGCGTACCTCTACTAATTGTTTGAAGTGAAACCCATGGAACGCAGTGGCTATACAAGGAGGAGGGGTTGTCAAAACGATCGACCGGGTGGGGGGAAGGGTTTGGGCCGTATAATTTACGTACGTAATTCTTAATTTTACAATTTTGTAGAATATAATTTTCACTAATTTTTTTAATAAAATTAGCCCCCTTTGAACAAACCCCAGGTTGTTGATGGGGGGTGGATGACCACTGATAGACGGATTTTGCCCACTATCATTGTACATTAAAATTTGAACTTGAAGTTTCTTATAAAAAAAAAATACATTTCGTTGAGCTTTTTTTTCCCATTAATTGGAAATTCCAAAACAATTGTAATCACATAAAATCGTTAAAAACGCGAACATTTTAAATTTCTGCAGAATTAGATGGTACGTACCGGTAAAAAAACCGACTGTATTGGCACGCGCCGGAGTACGAGTAGAATAATGCGTACCAGTGTAAAATCTATAGATAATAGAAATATGTGCTACTTTTGACGTACCTAACTACCCGATGAAAACTCCATGAACGCTCTTATAATTAGAGTCTAATTGGTGTAGAGGTTGTTCTCTGGCTTTTGGGACGGGAGAAAACGCGGAAAACGTCTAAGTAGTCGACTTTCTTCGTAGGTTTTTATAAACCGAAATTGTACCTGCTGGGCGTTGGTTAGTGTGACTTTTTGAATTAAATCCTTCTACTCGTTTTTCGATATTTTTATTCCCCGATTCCAAAAGCCAGAAATCAACCCAAATACCTGCCGTTCCCATTGGCCGACTGTCAGTTTGACCAACATTTACACGTTGTCATTTGCGTGTAACGCGTCTACTCATCACTGCAACACTGTGGCGCGGCGAGTAACCGCAACAGAAAGTTTTCGGGTTTCTCGGAACGACGATCGAGACCGAAAGTTTATACCGAACAGATTATTTAAACGCGCGGCCTCGTCGCGTAATGTTTTTCGTACACCACCGTTGGTTGTAATCTAATCTGTGATTTTATCCAATTCTTGTGAAAACCGATAATGCCGACTCGCGACGCCGTCGTCGCTGGCCGCCGCCAATGATCTTGACGGAGACATTAATCGCGCCAGTGGTTATTTTTCTGATATTCCGTATTGTACACACGCGTTTGAATTCAATTACCGGCTGGTTATTGACTTTTAGAGAGGTAATGAATATAATGGCTATAATAATGGCGCGTTTTTTATTTTTACACGTTTGAGAATTTATTAGCACACGAAAAAAGCCACTGTCATTGCGTACTCGACGCGAATGAAACGCAGAAAACGAACGCGGAAACGGGACAAGGAAAACGCAACGTAATATTATTTGTATTATAATTTACATTACGCGCGCAATGCGAAAACCGCGGCGACGTCGCGGCCGTTTCCCGTCGAGAAATGAGCTTAGAAATGGGCGAACAACAACCGCGCAGGAATTCACGGGACTCTGTATATGCCAAAGACCCGGGGATGTCCGGGGCACAAAATTAAAAGCCGCCATGTTTTATCGATGAACGAAACGCTGCACAACTACGCGATCTCGTTATCTATTGGTCCGTTCCGTATGTTCTTTGTTTCAACACGACGGACCGCAGAGGTAACGGAAC